AGCACTTCGAAAACGCCATGGCCTGGGCCCCCGCTCTGGCATGCTACAAGGAGCTCGCAGCCCACTACGAGCATACAACAATGGATTTTGCCAAACTGTCCCGAGCCCAGAGCTCCATGGCTCGAATCTACGACTGCATCGCCAAAGGCGGCAAGCAATTCCCGCGGTACTTCCGCGTGGCCTACAAGGGTCTCGGATTCCCTCCCAGCCTGCGCGACAAGGAGTTCATCTTCGAGGGATCACCGACAGAACGCATGGCCTCGTTCGTGGACCGCATGCAGCGCGAACACCCTACTGCGCAGATTACGTCTGCTGGTGAGATTCCCGATTACGAAGGCCAGTTCTTGCAGATCAGTGCTGTCAGCGCTTACCGTGACGTGACACACCCTGTCTATCAACGGTCCAAGATCCCGCACTCTGTGCGTGAACATCTGCTCATCTCGGATCCTTCTCGATTCTCGGCTACGTCGCGCCGACACACGAGTAGCTCGGATGTTCGTGAGCAGTATGTCGAGAAGTTGATCTTCACTGTTTCGGAGGCTTTCCCCAATATCCTGAGGCGCAGTGAGATTATTTCTGCGCAGGAGGTTGCTCTGTCTCCTTTGCAGACCGCTATTGAGCGGACCTGGCGGAAGACGCAGGAGCTTCAGCTTCTTGAGCGTCGGGCTGCGTCTGGTGAGGATTCTTCGCTGTCTAATTTGACTGAAGCCCTTGAGCAATTGCTGGAAAATAGGTCGCCTACTTCGAACTGTGTGGCGTTGTATCGTCAGTTCCTTTCTGATGCTGAGATGGCGAGGGAGAAGCTTCTGGAGGAAGTGGACGAAGATGCTACGGATGCAGAAGCAGTGCCGGAGGATGCAGACCCCATGGAGAATGCGCTCGCTGTAGCACTTATCGACCACGCCTTGGCCATCAAGCATGCTCTCTCTCTTTACCAGCGTCCCGCTCATCAAGCTACTCAGGCTGAACTTCTCCGCCGCTTCGAAGATGTCTTTGAACCTGAGCTGGCTTCTCTCACCTCTACTCCGGTAGAATACTCCTCGCCTACGCCAACCCAGACAGCCCGCCAATCCCCCAACTCAAGCGAGATTCGCCGACACCAATCTGTCCAGCGAACCGCCAGCCCAGAGCAGGAATTGATGCGCGCATCCCGTGGCAAGGCCCACACGCACAAACGTTCTGAGCGACAATCCGTCAGCCACCGAATCAGCATCATCAACCCCTTCAAGCGTTCCCACGGAGCCTCCAACTCCATCTTCACAATCCAGCAGTCCGACAGCAAGGGCTTGATAGTTGACCAAGAAGAAGCTGACGATGACACGGCAACAATCCACAGCCGAACAACCAGCCACTCCCGCGGCGGCCGCAGCGAAAAACGACGCAGTTTCTTCGGTGGAGACAAGACACACAAGCACGGCTCCTCCCCATCCGTCGGTGGCGCAGGCGCAGGCCACGACTCCCAAACCTCCTTGAAAACAAAACCCTCGCGCAATCCCTCCCGAGACACAACCGCCCAATCGCACGATGGCCGCAGCCGCGCCGGCTCCCAACACCGTGGCCCAACAGCTTCCGGTGCAGCCGGCCCGGACCGCCCAGCACCTGCTTCCAGCGGTGGTTGGTCCACACTCCCGCCCACGCGTGATTACTCCAGGCCCGCGACAAGGGACAGTACCAATAACACCGTCACGCTGACGACGACGAATGGCACGGCGCCTTTGTCCCCCGTCAGCAATGGCAGTGCCAACGGGAATAGCAGTGGCATGCGGGACTCTGTCTTCCGGCGGTTCAGTATGCTCAAGGGAAAGGGAGTTGGTCGCAAGAATAGCCGGATGGATTTCAAAGCTAATGGCACGCTGCAGGAGGAGTAATGACCTCTTCTCCATTCCCTTCCCTTCCCTTCTTCTTCTCTTCTTCTTCTTCTTCTTCTTCTTCTTCTTCTCCTTCTCTTCTCTTCTTTTTTCCCTCCGATATGGCTCTCTTTTTCATTCCCCCTGAGTCTTGACCTTCCTTTAAATCCTTTCTTGATGTGATTTACTACCTGATGTATTCTTCTTTTAGTGTTTTTTTCTCTGACTTTTGAGTTTTTGTTTCCCTGTGGATGGGGTTCGCTTTGGTGTTATGATAGATACCATGTGTTGCAGTTCCTATCTCCGCATAGTCTATACTATATTTCCTAATGTTACAAGGATCTCAGTCTAGTCATTCACTGTAGAGTACTTATACTTCTGCCCAACTTTATATGCGAAACAAATTGTCCGTGCGTCTTGGCCGACTGTGGCAGTGTAACCTTGGCACTGAGCCCGCCAATCACGTGTGTGGCCAACTGGCTCAGTGGAGTCAGATCGTCCAAGCTCCCGGTCATCTTGGAAAGCTGTGAGGCTGTGCTCTTCTCATCCATAGTTACGTCGCCTCCAGGTTTGCGTATCCAGGGTTTCAGTGGCTTGAACCCCGCCAATTCATTTCCTTTGAAGCTTGGCTTTTCCTGAAAAATGTGTTAGTGATCTCTTCCCTCCCCTTTATCTCCTTCTCCTTGCCGACTTTCTGGAAAAGTCTGGAGTCCCATATCACCCCCATAATCACCATCAGTGATCCCTTCATTCCCTATCAAGACCAACTATCCTATTCATCCTTTTACATCATTATATAAAGCTCCGTCAGGCGACGGAAACCCACTAATTCCCAAACAAACAGCCCACGTCAACTTCCGCTCCCAATTCCGAAGCTATAGCTTCGGATCCAGCCGCAGAATGTCATCAGGAAGCGCCGGCAACGGCAACATCAACGGCCCGAGCGAGCAAACCTCGCTCCTGGGCTCCCATCGGGCATCATCCTTCTCCGGTCTTGCGCCACACGAGCAGCAGGAGCATGGACAGCATCACCATCACCCGAAGGATAATCGCGTGTGGGTGGCGTGGCCTAAGCATGTCGTGCGTTTGACGTGGAAGACTCTTGTGCGGGATTATGTCAATCTGCTCCTTGTCATGGTGCCGCTGGGCATTGTTGCTGGTGCTCTAGGATGGGATTCGACGGCTGTTTTTACGTTGAATTTCTTTGCTATTATTCCGCTCGCTTCGCTGCTTAGTTTTGCTACTGAGGAGTTGGCTGCTACTATGGGTCAGGCGCTTGGTGGGTTGATGAATGCTACTTTTGGGAATGCTGTTGAGTTGATTGTGAGTTTGACCCCGTTGATTCGAGTTGGTTATCTGATGGGATATTTGTGTACTAATGGGCTTTCGGGTACAGGTCAGCATTATTGCTCTTAAGGATAACCAGGTCCGCGTTGTCCAGGCTAGCATGCTCGGTAGCATTCTCTCGAATATCCTCCTCGTGCTAGGCTGCTGCTTCTTCGTCGGTGGCCTGCGCTTCCGCGAACAAACCTTCAACAGTACCGTTGCATCGACCATGTCCTCCCTCATGGCGGTGGCATCCGCCTCGCTCATCATCCCCGCCACCCTTTATGCAGCAATCTCAAACGGCACAACCACCAAGCCCGGCGAGAACGCCACAAGCCCGGACGATAATGCGCAGAAGAACATCCTCATCCTCTCGCACGGCACGTCCATCATCCTTCTCATTATCTACGTCATGTACCTCTACTTCCAGCTGCACTCACACGCCGACCTTTTCGAAGAGACGAACGGCAGCGATGCCGAGAACGGCGCCGCCGATGAAGAAGAAGAGGAAGAAGAGCGCGTCTTGACCCCCTGGGCTGCGACTGTTGCCCTGATCGTCGTCACCATCCTCGTTGCCATCTGCGCCGATTACCTCGTCGGTAGTATCGACAGCATTGTCCAGAAGACCGGCATGAGCAAGACATTCATCGGTCTAGTTCTCATCCCCATCGTTGGTAATGCCGCAGAGCACGTCACTGCCGTGGTCGTTGCGTACAAGGATAAGATGGATCTGGCAATTGGTGTGGCCATTGGTAGCAGTTTGCAGATTGCCCTGTTTGTTACTCCCTTCTTGGTTATCCTGGGCTGGATCATGGGTATCGAGATGACGTTGCATTTCCAGACTTTTGAAACGGTTGCTTTCTTTATCTCTGGTTTGGTTGTTACGCTTCTTATTCAGGACGGAAAGTCCAATTACCTTGAGGGTGGTATGTGTCTTGGCATGTATATCATTCTTGCTCTGGCTTTCTATGTCTATCCTGATAATGTTGCTACCTAAGCTGGGTTGAGCGGCGGTTTGATCTTTGATTTGGTCATTATTTGGGTGGATATCCCTTTTTTTTTGTCTTGTCTACTGACTACTGTTTTTTCTTTGTTTTCATCTTGTGCTGTATGTACTTTCCGATTCTCATCAAAATTTCTTGTGTCTATATGTTTCTAGTTTTGATCCGCTTGAGTCGGAATGAACAATTCTTTGCCTTGCAGATATAATCCGGTGATGACGCACTTCTTCGGCACTTATCGTGGAATCCAAGATCAGTCATGTATACTAAATGCCTCGGTACACTATGAATGGTGCTGAGCTCATGCCCGTGGTCAATGCTACTTATTAGGTAGGTAAAGGTGTTGGTTGCCTCGGATTCTCTTGTCGACTCATATCCTTCGTTAATCCTGCTATCTTTGTTGGATTTATTAGGCCATATCCATAGGTATTTGGTTTATTCTTTGTCTCTATATTGTGTGATAGTGGATAACTCATTTTTGAAATCTACGAATATAAACATGTTGGGGTCATCATCCCGTTGAATATATAGTTGTTTTCTCAACTCCCATGTGTATCATATTCTATAGAAAAACAGGAACTAAGTGCTTGGCTAAAGAATATCCAAAGCTTGACAACCTCCAATTACTCACATTACAAGCTACCCCTCCAACAATCCTGTTTCCAACACTTCTACAGTTCATGCATGACCTCACAAAGAAGTCTTGGCGATGACTAAGCGCATCCCGGAAATTTGCCGGAGACCGCAAACTTCACCAACAGCGCTCGATCTCGACTCAACTCGATTGACAACAATTGAATCGAGGCCAATCCTCACAGCCACCACAATGCCACCACGGCTCAACCTCTTCACAGCGAACAAGGCCGTCTCGGCCCTCCGCCAATCTACCACTCCCGCACTGTCTTCACCCCGGAGCATCGCCAGCCCAGCTCGATTCCGCGCTGTCCAGTCCGTACCCCTTCAGAAGCGATGGAACTCTTCGCGTGATGGCTCGAAGAAGGTCGAGCCCCAGCCCGATGAGCAGACCTTTCCGACTTCGGACCAGCTCCCCCATGTTAGCGAGGAGGCTGCTGAGATCTCGCGCATTATGGATAAGGAAAAGCGGTGCGATGGTGTCCCCTCCACTCCAGAGCTGGACCAAGGGACTCCAGTTGAGGAGGTGAGAAATATCCCAACCCCGCTCCCAGGGTGACTAGGCCTTACCGGAAACCGTGTTAACAGTATTGGTATTGGTGTAACAGATCCTCAGCCGCGATAAGGATGCTATGAAGCACATGCCCAAGATTATGCGGGACGAACTTAAGAAGGCCGGTGGTTCGCGCTCATTCTCGACCTCGGCTCGTAGCCGCATGCCGGATGTGCAGGGCGTTGAGCCTAACAACGAGTTCATCCCCGCTTCCGGTGCCGGAGCTGGACAGGGCATTGAGGCTAGCGATGAGGCTGCTGCTGCTCTTGCTAGCATGATTGAGCAGGTACAGGAGCAGGCTCTTGAGCAGAACCCCGGCTTGAAGTTCGATGAGCCCGTTCTGCCTAGCAACATTCGCACATTGAACTTCCGGAAACGCTACGATACGTTGCAGGACCAGTTCACTAAGATGATGATGGAGAGTGGGAAACTGACCCGGGCGCAAAAGGTACATCTCTTTCTCGCCGATGGATATTTGACTGGGAACGGTTTAGCTAATTCGTCTAGAATATGTCCATCGTTCTGGACCATCTCCGCACCGCCGCCCCTCCACAGGTGAACCCTCGCCGCCGTCTCCTCGGTGCTCCTCCCGCTTCCCAGCTCCCCCTCGACCCCGTCCTCTACCTCACCCTGATCGTCGACTCCGTCGCTCCTCTTTTCCGAATCCGTCAGCAGAAGGGTATCGCCGGTGGTGGTACTGCCGTGCAGATCCCCCACCCGTTGACTCTGCGCCAGCGTCGCCGCACCGCTATCAAGTGGATTCTCGACCAGTCGGACAAGCGCAAGGATGCTCTGTTCGCGCACCGCGTTGCGGGTGAGCTGGTGGCCGTCGCTGAGGGCCGTAGCTCTGTCTGGGACAAGAGAGATCAGCAGCACAAGATTGGTATTTCTGGTCGTGCCAACTTGGGTGTGCGCAGTCGTTAAATTGGCCATGGTCTGTGTTTGTTCTTCTGGGGTTTGGATTATGAGCACTTCTGCATCTGTACATTTATTAGTTCATTTATTAGTCCCGTCAAATGGGTTTGGCTTTCTTTCACAACTCGACAAGGTCATTCCTTGCTATTGACTAACGGTCTGTATCAATGTTAGTCGCATATCTTCAAGTGTAAGCCAGACTCTATATATAGCGCCCTCCCCTCTTTCCATTGGAGGGTCTAGCAGATGGGCTTATCCGCCCTGCATAAGATCAGTTTTACGAATATCTCTACATCTTATACAGAGTACATCAATAACTACGGAGTACATTTCTCTGCTTTGTGTAGCGCCCCACCTGATAGGCCAAACCCGCTTACCTCAGCCATTCCGCCAACGATCCCTGAAGTCATCGAAGACATCGCGAAAGCGACAGTTGATCTTGTGTTTCGGAGTTATTCCCATCTTCAAGCAGGGTGATCCACAGCCGTGCAACCCTCAAACCGCAGCTGACCCGACACCATCACCAAACCCTCCACCGTCCCCGACCTAGCCTAGCCCACTTCGCCCTTTCGAACCCTCGCTTCTCCCCACCCCCCCCATTCATTGGGTGACCCAGGCCGATCTCCCTCCGGCCTTCCAACGACGGTGGCTCCCACGCGTCCCGATTCCATTGAACTTGTCGAGTACAACCACCCCTCCCAGGACGCTACCGGACCGGACCTAGGGCCCACTGCTACAGCTCAGCCCTCATCCTTAAATACAAGGCCGTTTACTCCTGCAGCCAACTCTCAGGCGCTTGCGCTAGCTGGTCTTGTGCTAGAGCTTGACGAGGCTGCGGACGAGAAGAGTTTTGAAGGTCAGCGTCGGCCGCCCGGTGTCCGCTTTACTCGTCTGAGATTTTGGACTGAGGCTCTTCGACGTCGTGCGCAGGCTTCAGAATCGCGGAAGGTCGACTCCCATACCGATACCGATACCGGAACTGACTCTGGATCTGGATCTGGAAGTACCGCCAAGATGAAGTTTTCGCATAGTGTGCAGTTTAATGCTGTGCCGGATTGGAGCTCGAATTACATTGCGTATAGCAATTTGAAGAAATTGTAAGTTGGCTGTTTCTGTTGCCGGGTTTGGATTGGAGATGGGTGGTTGTGTGTGGTGTGATACCGATGCGATGCTCATGTGCAGGAGATTTGTCGGTGTCACATTGCACATTGCACATTGTACCGCGGTGCATGCATGGCGGATACTGTCTTTGGAGATTTGTTTCGTGTGCTAATGTTGCATTGTGGCTAGAATATACACCCTTGAGAAGCAGGTCAACCGCACTGAGGGTCAGTCCACTACTGATGTTGAGTCTGCGCCTCTGCTTGGTGCTCAGACGAGTAACCCCGATGGGATCTTTAAGCGGGCACTTGATGCCGAGATGGATAAGATCTGCACCTTCTATCAGAAGAAGGAGGCCGAGATCTTCGAGCTTACCGATGAGATTATCAAGGACGCTCATATCTATCTTTCCGAGACGGATGGCGTCAATATGGATCCGGTCAGCGAGACTATTATCAAGGCCAACTTCCGCCGGAATGGCGGTACTTCTCATCTGCCGCGCCGGCGATCCAGTGCTGCTAGCAACGATTCGATGGCCGATGACGAGGGCGATAGCGATGATGATCGATCGCCGACGACGCTTGCTCAACGCCGGAGAATGGCGCAGTCGACGGATCTCGAGTCTGGCACTGATGATCAGCACGGCGATCTGACGGACTCGACTTACTTCGGCCAGTCGAGTGCACGCGAGCCCCACGAGTCGTATTTCAACGATGAGGATTTCCTGGCTCTATATAACGCCGGGATTTCGTTGAAGAAGCGCCTGATCGAGGTTTATGTCTCGCTCTGTGAGCTTCGGTCCTTTATCGAACTTAACAAGACTGGTTTCTCCAAGGCTCTGAAGAAATACGACAAGACTCTGGACCGCAACTTGCGCCGCGATTACCTGGCTTCTGTTGTCTACCCGGCAGCGCCTTTTATCGAGAGTACCATGGCTTCTGTCGATAGCCATATTGATAGTGTTGAGAGTGTGTACGCCGGCATTGTCACCAAGGGCAACAAGCAGCTGGCTAGGCGCGAGCTGCGTCTGCACTTGCGAGAGCAAATCGTCTGGGAGCGGAATACCGTCTGGCGTGAGATGATTGAGATCGAACGCCGTGCTCAGGCCGCGAACGTTGGTATCCGTCGGACACTTTTGGGTGGTGATGAGGATCCTGCCACTGCTCGACGCCAGGGTGATAAACAGGAAATTCGCACCCAGGAGATCAAGACGCCTCTGGGTCGATTCCATTTCCCGCTATGGTTCTGTAGTCTGAGCTTTGGAACGTTGGTCTTGAGTATTGCTGTCTTTGGTGCGATGCTCTCGCTTCGGATTATGGAGACCCCTGAGCAGCAGAACTGCTTGGCTATGTTGGTTCTCGTCAGCATTCTGTGGGCTACTGAGGTATGACATACTTATTCCATCTTTTTTTGATTGCATGCTAATATCTGACAGGCCATTCCACTGTTCGTCACTTCGCTTTTGATTCCGTTCCTGGTTGTTGTACTTGGTATTATGCGGTCAGATGACAAGCCCCATAAGCGCCTGGGGCCTAAGGAGTCGGTAGGCATGGTGTTCTCCGCGATGTGGACGCCCGTCATCATGCTTCTCCTTGGTGGTTTCGCAATCGCCGCAGCACTCTCCAAGTATGATATCGCGCGACGCATGGCCATGTTCGTGCTAAGCAAAGCCGGATCGAAGCCATCCGTTGTCCTGCTCACCAACATGTTCGTGAGTATGTTCCTGAGCATGTGGATTAGTAATGTCGCATCGCCTGTGCTCTGCTACTCCATCATCCAGCCCCTGTTGCGCAACCTGCCCCCAGAGTCGGACTTCGCCAAGGCTCTCGTGCTAGGTATCGCGCTCGCTGCCAACGTTGGTGGTGCCGCGTCCCCAATTGCCTCGCCGCAGAATATCATCGCCCTGCAGAACATGTATCCCAACATCAGCTGGGGAACATGGTTCTTCATCGCGCTCCCCGTCTGCATCATCTCCATTCTGCTCATCTGGGGCTTGCTCCTGGCAACCTTCAAACCGGGCCGCAACGCAACAGTCATCCCCATCCGCCCCGTCAAGGACCGCTTCACCGGAATGCAGTACTTCATCAGCATTGTAACCCTCATGACCATCGCCCTCTGGTGCGCCAGTCACCAACTTGAACATATCTTCGGCGACATGGGCGTCATCGCCATCATCCCCTTGGTTCTCTTCTTCGGAACAGGAATCCTTAACAAAGAGGACTTCAACAACTTCCTATGGACGATCATCATCCTCGCCGCTGGTGGACTATGCCTAGGAAAGGCCGTCACCTCCTCAGGATTGCTGCACACCATCGCCGGAAGCATCACAGCCCGCGTCGAGCACCTCAGTCTATACAGCGTGCTGTTAGTATTCAGCGCTCTGATTCTCGTCATCGCAACCTTCATCTCGCACACCGTCGCCGCCCTGATCATCCTCCCTCTCGTCCGTCAAATCGGCGTCAACATGGAGAACCCCCACCCGAATCTGTTGGTCATGGCCAGTGCCTTGATGTGTTCCGTCGCCATGGCATTGCCAACCAGTGGTTTCCCCAATATGAGTATGTTCCCTCCCCCCGGGGACTGTCACTTGGTGAACCTTCCACTAACCTAATGTCCTCTTCTTAGCTGCCATCATGACCGAAGTCCCCCAAACAGGCCAGCGCTACCTCCAAGTCCGCCACTTCCTCACCCGCGGTATCCCAGCAAGTCTCATGTCATTCGTGGTCATCGTCACGCTCGGCTATGGATTGATGTATGTCGCGGGATTATAGAGCAGCACCTCTATGCCATATCCCATATCCTGCAAGAGTAAGAATGCGCGCGTGACCATTCAATCCAACCTCATTTGGAAGAATTAAACCGACATGGATAAACAAAGAAAAGAAAAGAAAACACCCACGCATCCAGTTCAGTTCTTGGCCGTGGCTGTCGTCTGTTTGAATTTGTTGTCTGATCTCGTCTCACTTTTTTGTTATTTATGCTTATGAGCGAGCGTTCTCCCTCCTCTCCCTCTCCCTCTCTCTCCCCCTCTACCTCACCACCTCTCCCTTCCTCTCTTGCTCGCCTGATCCCATCTCGTATCGCCGAGGATTGGCTTTGTACTTGTTGCACAGATGACGATAGATAGACTGATGGATTGTGAGGAGTAATGCATATAGCCTACCATACCATATCCTTGTTTTTCAATGGGATAATACATCGATAGATTTGTTTCACATGATAATATAGTGGGATGGGAAGGATGGGACAATAATGTGGTGTGTGTGTGTGTGTGTGTGTGTGGCTGTAGATGTGGTTGCAGACATATCACCTTTCTCGGCGGATTTAGAGGTAAACACTAAATACGAATACATGCCTAGTAGTTTGGAGATTGTTGCACTTGTCCGACTTAATTTGTTTGTGCTTTCCATTTTTGCTTTCTGATATAGATGGGTGGGTAGATAGATACTGAGGTGGGTATGGGAGCACAAGGTCAATACGTCTGAGCAGGTCTCGACGCCTTGTATTTTAATTACCGTTGTCCAACATGTCTACAGCACTACTGCAACAAGTACTTAAAACCAGTCAATTAATCCATTTCACCAGACCCAATACTTGTAGGCTAAAGTTACTGTACAATGACAAGACTCCAAGACAGTCAGTCAGACCAGATCTAGGGAAATGAACATCCTAGGCGCAACACGGAAAGAGATAAGGCGGGGAAAAAGGAAATATGATAATAAGCCTTGCCAAGGAGAAACACATAGGCCGGAGAAAACAGATATCACAAACAAGGACATGACGAGGAAAAGAACAAGAATAAGGACTATGCATCTTGCATCACCATTAACCCATAAACAAGTCATTTCAGGCGCAGGCAACACCACACGAGAGGAAGGGAGGGGAAATGGGGCTGGTGTTCATCGCGATGGAGATAGAATAAGCATGTAGACGTAGACATAGACGTAGACGTGAGGTATAAGTACTTCTTCTATTTGCTGTAGAAGATGAATTTAATTACTGCATCGTCAGTCAGTGAATTGCACCAACAGAGATTTTGAGTAAGATGTAAGAGTAGAGATTAATAGCCAGAGGATCGGGGTTAGGGTTGAGTTAGGATTAGGAATAGGAAATGCGACGACAAAGAGGTGTCGAGACAAGTATAGGAAAGAATAGGAAAGGAAATGGAATACTGACAGCAAACCAATCGTCAAATCACCATGGATCTTCGCCTTAAGCTGGACCTCAATATCCAGATTAAGATCCAGCCGCAGACGAAGCTGCTCATCACGACCACCATCCTCGTCTTCATCCTTCTTCTCCCCACCGCCGAGGACACCACCGACGGCCTTGCCAGCACTGCCAGTTACGCCGTTCAGGGCATTACCGGCTGTGTTCTGGACGAGCTGGCCGGCCTGGTCGACACCGCCGAGACCGCCGAGCGGACCGCCATCTTGTCCTTGCTGCTGCTGCTTGGGCTGGCGCTGGCGACGCACGCGACGACGTTCTTGCTGGGGTTGTTCCATTTCTTGGGTTTGAGGGCGAGGACGAGGGCGACGACGACGTTCTTGCTTGGGCTCTGGTTCGGGTTCCGGTTGGGGTTCCGGGTCGTTTTGTTCTTGGTTGTCTTCGTCTTCGTCTTGGTCTGAGTCTGGCTCTTGTTGTTTCACGGGCTCGGGCTCGGACTCGTTATTTTCTTCGTTGTTCTCTTCTGGTTTCTTTTCGGAGTCTTCGCTCTTGTCCTCGGCCTGGCCTTGTTCGGACGGGGGAGGGGTCTGTTCTTGTTTGGCGGGGGACTTCTTGCCCAGTTTGGGAGGGGCACGTTTAGGCTTGTTGGGGGTTGTGGTTGTGGAATCGGGGTTGGGAGTAGAAGGTTGATCCTGATCGGCCATGTTGAAAAGAGAAGAAAGAGAGAAGAGAAGCTATCAAGGGGGGGAAGGAGGGGAATATGAACTGATTCGAGCACGAGATATGGGACAAAGCGTCACAGGAGGTGGGCAACAGGAACTACTATGTAATTGTGCGTATTGGTATATGAAATCAACGCCATGTCTAACCGTTTATATCATTAGAAACGCCAATGGAGCTGGTCAAAACCGGTCGTCGCAGTACCCAGGAGCCGCCTCCGACGTCAGACGGGATGCGACTGTGGCTCGCACCAGACGCCAGGGCTGGGGGTCGCAAGGCGGTTGTATACTTACATCTGGTCCAGATGGGGCTGGCGGAAATGATGGGGAATCCCAGCGTGAAGAAAGGTTCGATATGACGTGTGTAGGCCAGAATCAGGACCTGGAGCCTCCGTATGGAGCAACTGACAACCCCGGCTTAATTGGTACAACGTGGGATCAGCAAGAAACAGACCAAACCCTGGCCATGCGTTGGACCAGAGACGTGGATCGGCAAGGAAAAAATAGATATCTCCGCTATTGGCCGCCAAGCACCAATTATAGAACAAATCGGTAAATTCGTTGCACTGACACTCTCCACTTAAATAGATTAAGTAGACGTAGTAGGCCGTTGAGTATGACGCGACTCGACGTCAGGATAGGTTGTGCCTGTACGTGTGCGTACCCTTGGATGTTGTATTGTATAATTTAATGCCACTTTGGCAGTCTTCCAGCCACTGGAAATGGGGAAATGACAGGGGCAATATATGCCCGGTTCCTGGTTTTCCGAGTTTCAACTTGACCGGTTCAGGCCTGTCATTGTTTCCACGGTCGTGCCCATGTGGCATGTCGTTGAACTCCACTATTGACACGTCCTCCAGAATCTTGTCTGACACTATGACGCGGGTGGTCTGTTGAACAGTTGGTGGCAGGTGGGAGTGGGAGGAGGAGGAAGCGGGAAGCCGCCAACGTCATTTGCATAGACTTGATATCCGATCCCATACTGGATATCATACTGCTTCCCTCTCTTCTTTTTTAGGTTTTTATGTTTAGTTTCTATTCATTTTCTGTCTATACCCATTCCCTCTATTCTCTCATCTCTTCTCTCGCCTATATCCTCCCTCTATAAGATACCTCATTCACTATGGCTACCGTCGAAAAGACCAAAGAGCAGCCCAAAAAGCTCCCCGTGCAGGAAGACCTTTCCGACGGTGAAGATTATGACAGTGCCGACGACTATACCGACGAAGAGGACGAAGAAGAGATCCCCCAGACCAAAAAGAACAAGCAGGTGCAGCGCCGGAAGCCCCCGCAACAACAAGACGACGACGAATACACAGACGAAGATGAATATGGCTCAGATGAATACGACGACGAGTATTCGGATGACGATGATGCCGCCATGCAGCCCTACTCCAACAACAACACGAATTTCCAACCCAACGGCGGCATGGACGTCCTCAACAAAGAGGAGAAGTCGATGCTGGACGAAGAGGGCATGAAGCTGAGACTGGAACTGAACTTGGAAATTGAAGTTGAACTGAAGGCACGTATTCACGGTGACCTCACCCTGGCTCTCATGTAAGTCTCTTAACTAGAACCCCCTTACCCCTACCGAGGATGTCTGCTCAAAGGCCGAATTAGGAGTTGATCTCGTTTTGTCGACAACAGGGCGTGAATACTCATCCTATTCCGATGTTTGCATTTCTGTTTCCAATATTCGATGTCGTCACGAGTGATTTCAATGTTTGCTGTCCATAGAGCCATGTTTAATATCTGCACCTGCGCGATGGATGTTTGTTTTTGGGGCACCACAGCGTGTACCACTATGTATATCCCATGAATGGAGTACTGGAGTAAAGTCAAGTCAAGTACAGTAGTCAAGAATACGTATGTAGTCAAGTATAGACACACATGGCAAACAAGCCGAGGCCCGAGTCTTGGCACGGATCCATATTCTCCTGACCCTCCTCTACTCAGTTCAAATCCCAATTGATCACCTCTCCAATTGATACCATTCCCACCTATATACCATGTCGTCCAAAGACTTCATCATCAAGCATATGAATGCCGACCACCAAGACTCCCTCGCCCTATTCCTACAAGCATACAACGGCATCTCAGCCACCGAAGCCAAAACCGCCCAATTGGAAGACATCAACCTCTCAAACCTGATAATCACAGCTAAAGGCACCCGCTACCATGTCCCAATCGACCCAGCAATGAAATCATACAGCGAAGCCCGCGGCTGCATGGTCGCAATGCACAAAGAAAGCCTCAAACGCCTAGGTCGCAGCGACGTAACCCTCACCGAATACCGAGGCCCGCGCGGTTTCCAAGCCGTAATCTTTGCTCTATGTCTGTTCACCTACGCCAGCTGTTTCCAGCGCAGCAATCTGCTCCCTGGATCGGTGGTCTACGAGTACTTGGGATACAAGTATGTGCCTGACTTTGCGCATTTCGTCTACAATATCCAGCCGTACCTGTTTCCTGCGGTTGTGGGCATTCATGTTTTGGAATCGACGCTGTTGGCCGTTTGGCGGCTGAAGCCGCTTGGTGTGCCGGTTTTCTCGGGGTTGTGGTTTGCTTGGGTTTCGTCGTGCTTTGTGGAGGGCTTTGGATGTTTCCAGCGTATTGGGGCTATCGTTAAGGAGGAGAGGGCGAAGAGAGGCAAGAGCGAGTAATGCTGGTTAATTTTGATATAATCTGGCTAAATAGTCAATGGGCTGGTCCATAATATATGCAGTATAATGCAATGAAGCAATGGTCTAAAGAGCCATAAGATGCCATACCAGTTCATAATAATTAGTTCATGTTAAGCACAATGAAGGTTTGATACTTGGGTTCACGTGACCTGCTGATTCATCAATCAGCTGACCCAGTCAGTGACTGGTCACCCTAAACCCAAAGCAGCCTAGTGCCGGTTAGGGCACTACACAAGCGAGCGACACAGTGCGCCCTGCGAAATTCAGCGACTCCACGACCTCAAACTCCCACGACAACCCAACGACAACTTATCCGCGTTTCCGGTGAAGGGCTGCATATTCAGAGGTGAGTTATCGACGTCCTCCTTCCTGGCCCTCAAAAATTCTGTTTCGCTCGCGCCGTCAATTTCGACTCTTGGTCAATATTCAAAATTCAATATCAATCGTCAATCGTCAAATTTCGACTCTGTCTCGCCTCCTCTCTACTCTCGACCATCCTACAACCTGTCGCCATACTATTCCGATATTCCAAAATTGATTTGTGCGGTGCTTGAGACGAAACAGAAGAATTGGAAAAAACTTCAGGGCTTTCAATCGACCCATATCTAACCAGTGTCCTCCGACTTAGACCCCTCCATCAACCGCAAACATGGGTATTTCTCGGGATTCTCGCCACAAGCGCAGCGCCACTGGTGCTAAGCGCGCCTCCTACCGCAAGAAGAGGTACGATTCTACACCCCCAGGTTGAAATTGAAGTTTTCGGTCGAGGAAGTGGACCACATATGTCGGAGCATGTTCTTACCAGTCGTTCTACAGAGCGTTCGAGAAGGGCCGCCAGCCCGCCAACACCCGTATTGGCTCCAAGCGCATTCACCTTGTCCGCACCCGTGGTGGCAACCAGAAGTTCCGTGCCCTCCGTCTGGACTCCGGTAACTTCTCGTGGGGCTCTGAGGGTATCTCCCGCAAGACCCGTGTCATTGGAGTGTCCTTCCACCCCTCCAACAACGAGCTGGTCCGCACAAACACCCTGACCAAGTCCGCCGTTGTTCAGATCGACGCTGCCCCCTTCCGTCAGTGGTTCGAGGCCCACTACGGCCAGCCCATCGGTCGTAGACGCCAGCAGAAGACCGCCGAGGTCACCGAGGAGAAGAAGTCCTCCTCCGTCGCCAAGAAGCAGGCTGCCCGCTTCGCCGAGTCCGGCAAGGCTGAGTCCGCCATCGAGCGCCAGTTCGAGTCCGGTCGTCTGTTCGCCGTTGTTGCCTCTCGCCCCGGCCAGTCCGGCCGTGTCGACGGTTACATTCTGGAGGGTGAGGAGCTTGCTTTCTACCAGAAGGCTATCCGCAAGTAAACGAAAAAATAAAATATTCGGGAAAGCTCATTCGGCGAGGGCCGCGTGTGTGTTGTTGCAACGGGTGGTTATCGGAGTTTCAGCTATGTCATGAATTGGGCATCCATGAGATGCAAATTGTCTGTAGAGCTCTGAGCCGTCAATCTATGGGAATTATTCCTAGTTCATTTGTTTTTACCCGTAACTGTTGAATCGTAGATACTGCCGCTCCCTACCTGCCGACTCGCCTCATTCCCCTCCTACAACTCCCCAACTACCACTTCCAACTACCATTGCCAACTGCCAACTCCCAGTCTCACCATGTCAACAATCAAAACCCGCATTTGCCTCATCTCAGACACACACACCCTCCCTCCAAACCCACCCCAGCAAACAAACAATGCCTACCGCCACCCTCTCCCAAGCGCAAACATCCTCCTCCACGCCGGCGACCTAACAAAAGTGGGGTACCGCCAGGAAAACGAAACAATGCTCCAAATGCTCAAAGAAGCAGACGCCGAACTCAAACTCGTAATAGCAGGCAATCACGACATAACTCTAGACGAAGACTACTTCACAAGCTACGGCTATAAACGCCACAAGCGACCCGAAGAACTGGGCAACAGCACAACCTTCCTCACAGACGATGATACCCTCCAAACACCCCTCCGCGCTTCATCCAATCCCCCAGATAAGAACGAGTTACAGGCCTACGCCCGCTCGATTAAGGATCTCTGGACGGGTGAGGCTGCGCGGAGTGCGGGCATTGTCTACCTCGAAGAAGGCATTCACTCGTTTACTTTGTCGACTGGTGCGACATTTACTGTTTATGCTTCGCCTTACCAACCCGAATTTTATAATTGGGCGTTTGGATATCCGCTCAGTGAAGACCGTTTCAATATTCCTCCTTCTGGATCATCAATTCCGCCACCCAAGAACCCAATACCAGATTTCCCAGCTATTGATATCCTCCTAACACACGGCCCACCAGCGGATATCCTAGATGCCGTCCCGCCCGATTTGAATGTCGGCTGTAAACATCTCAAGAAGGCGGCGTGGCGCGCGAGACCGCGGTTGCATGTCTTTGGGCATATCCATGAAGGATGGGGTGCGCAGCGGGGTATCTGGGATGAGGATGGGGGTGAGGTTGGAAGTGTGAAGCTTGAAGATGTGCCTGCGGATCCGGAGGATATGTTGGAGTTTAGGGGTGCGTATTGTGATGTTAGTGATGGCGCGAAACGGCCGTTGAGGGTTGGGGAGGAGACGCTTTTTGTTAATGCTAGTGTCGTTACTGTTCAGTATGAGCCGAGGAATGCGCCTTGGGTTGTTGATTTGGAACTTCCTGTTAGCGAAATGCGGAGGGGATAGTGTGTTTTGGTTTTCTGTGTGTCTTTGTTCCCGGAGTGGTCGATGTTAGCAGCTTTACACTCTAGATTTTAGGAAGTATTAATAGCTTGATGGGGCTATGAGAGACAAAAAGTTCTATCATCGATAACATAGAGGTGGAAAAGAAGCAAATCTAGTTTGGAAAAATATATAGCTGTCTTACGACCAACCGCACCGTGGAATATATTATCAACCAAGCAACATTTCAAATTCTCCACGTATTCAAAACACCTAATAAGTTAAGAACCATTGGGGAATTATACCTTAACCAGTATCCGAATCTAATATATACGCATTGTAGCACACAAAATAGCTACCCAAAAAATCCAAAAAAAAATAAAAGAAAACAAAAAGCAAAAAAGTCCTCCAACTCCATTAACGTTCAAGGCGCGCCACCAAGACCTAAGCAAATGTCAGCATTTTGCAAAATATTCCCATCAAAACAAGGAAAAAACGATGACTTACCAGCAGCGAAAGCCAGGTACCAAGTACGCGTCGCACCACCATCAATCCAGCTATAGTCAAAGTTCGGCTGGGTAAAGAATTCCCAGGCGGCTTTGGGATCAATGAGGGCTAGGTTGGCGTATAGCACGCCCTTCCATCCACCCTCGACCTTGTCGGCAGGTGTGGAGGCATTGGCTGAGAACATGGCGTTCCATTCTTGACGGACGAACTCCTTGCGGCGGGTGAAGGGGGTGTGAGGCATCAATGGGAGCATGTGGATACTATATGATTTTGATTTTGGTTAGTGCGTGACAGGGGTGAGAAGGGCAGAGGGAAGGGAGGTTGGTTGGGATAGACACACCCTTGGACGTATTCCAGGTTTGCACCGAAGTAGGTTGTGTGATCGACCTTGTTCTCGAATAGCTAGATGGGGAGTTAGTCTGACTCGTAACAGACATGGGTGATCGTTGACTATGAATGATACTCACAATCCCAGTAACCTTGTTCTTAACGAAGTTCGCCGGCTGGTTAACATTATCATCTTCCATGAGGAAATAGTCGTGAAGCGAGCGACTCAAAATGCCCAGCATCATGTTACCACGCGCTTCCATGCTTGCATCGCCGGTGGTCTGTCCCCACATCTTGATAGCATACGCGAACATGGTATCCTCCGACGTGGATTCCTGATCCTTTCCATCGTAAGACTCGAACAGACCCTTCGCCCACGAGTGACCATTGTACCAATCAAATGAGCGCGAGAAGGGGAAGAGAGGGTCGTTGTCGACGGAGTTACCCGCATCACGGACGAGCATGTTAACCCACTCCTTATTCTTTGCTAGCCAGCTGGGGTCAAGAGCACCAATGATGGCTGCTGCTTGGATGAAGTAGCCATAGTGGAAGTGGTGGTCGTTGTACGCTGTATTTCCGAAATCTTGGTTCAGGTCACCATCGTAGCCGGCTGTTGAGACGACTCCCTTCCAGACGGTGTCGTATGCTAGTGGGTATTGTTGCTTGTTGTCCACGAAGCGGGCGAAGGATTTCTTTACTTCTTGGAAGGCGTCCGCGGCGAGGTCGACGTTGTTGCCTAGCTGGTTGACGGTGTAGACCAGAGTTGCGAACTTGCTCAGGGCCTTGCCACTGTAGTACATGCTGTTGAGGTCAGTTTGATCGGAGATGTTCTGCTTTAGTTCTTGGGGAGCGGCCTTGAGAATGGCGTGCTGGGCGGTGGTTGAGAGGTCGTGTACACTGCCGTGGGTGGTTGTCCAAGGGGCGAAGCCCATGTCGACAGGGAGGTTCTGCTCCGTCATGGTCCATCTTTCTCCAATGACAGCGGTGGTATTGCCCTTTGTTGTGCTGCGGAGGTGGATATTGGTGATACGGCCCTTAGTGGCGTTGTCGAAGGAGTGGACGTGATGAGGCAGAGCGAACATGAGCAAGGGAGTTCCGTTAACCTGCTTTCCGGCCTTTGCCCAGGAGAGGCTGTAGCTGCCCTCATTACCACTGACAGAGCCGGAGATCTCTCCGGAAACAGCGTACACACCAGCCGAGTTATCGTAGAACTTCTCGCCAGACGTACCAGCCGGGTTCTTGGCAAGCTGGACGGTACCGGAGAACCCGTGGGAACCACGGAGGCTGGACTTCGAGACCAGTTTGAACTTCGGGTCTTTACCGTCGGTGGGCGTGGCATACATGAGCCATGTAGTGTCATCTTCGAGATCAACCTTGTACTTGAAGATACCGAGTCGTGGCGAACCAGCGCTAACAACCTTTCTGAAAAAGACACCACTCTCAATAAGAGGCTGCAAGTCATTGTAGATAGCAGTGGTGTAACCCATGCCTTGCACAATGGGGAAAGTAATCTGCTGAGCTGAGCCTCCAGACCGCTTCAGGACAGCATGGGCAGAGAAAGCCTTGGGATCTTCAATGTCCATGACACTGGACTCGTCGAGCTCAGTTGCTGAGAGAATCAGGTGTTGAAGTCCAACTGGGTTGATATAATATGACACTGGCTCTCCGGGAATCTTATCATTCTTGGGGCCGTAGGCAAGCATGTGAGGCTGGACATGGGAAATGCCCATACCCCAGCTCTTAAGTGAACCACCGCCCTTGGACCATGCCAGAGAGTAGGGTTGCGTGAAGGAAGCATTGGTCTGAGTACCCAGGAAAAGCCCAGCGTAGAACTTGTTGGTCTCAATTGGACCGGTGGTGTTGGCCTATGCATGAAATTAGTATTCAATTCATATGATGATCGAAATTGGAGCCAGCTTACATGCTTGTTCTGCACGGGGTGGTCATGCCTCGACTTGATATTAGCAGGAACAGCCCCAGTCGCAATAGGCCCAAAGATGTCCTGACCGTTCATGGTCTTAGGTTGATCTGCTTGACCTGGGGGAGGAGAAGAGACCGTGGGAACAGATACTGTGAAAATTAGTATGCCGCATAAAAGAACCCACGCTTTTTCATTCGCACATACCTGCTATCGAAGTCGCAGCTTGTTCGGCTTTTGGTAATTCTCTAGTAGTTCCGATAGTTGGAACAGGCAGCGCCGTAGCTTGCGACTGCTGCTGCGAAGCTGTCGTTGGGACAGGAGCAGGTTCCGCTGCAACTGTTGGTGCCGAAGCAGTAGCGGGTTCTGGCACACCTAGCAGGTCGTTCAACCCGTGAACAAACCTTTCGAGTTGAAACTGCGGGAATGGAGGCTGCGGTGGACGGCCGTCAAACTCCAAAGCCACGCGATATTCCTGATTTAAAGGTCAACATCACGCCGTATCAACCCAATGCATGTCTACAAAACGTACAGGGTGAGATTCCGGAATAAATAGTCTATCCTCCTCGTTCGTAGGCGGATATTGGGTTCTATAAGCCGTCTCAGGCTCTGTGGCAGTCCCCTGCAGTATACCTTCCACTGCAGTTCCCACACGCGGCAGACAATTGACTGATTCCGCGGCTAGAAGCCAAGTTAGCAAGGCTGTCGCCTTCCATTTGGAGGTCGGGTCCATGATGCAAATAGTTCGTATACAAATAAAAGAATGAAAGAGATCGAATTTGTATATAGAGAGTCTTTGCTATTCCTCAATTCATTCCAACTGGATATGAATCACTAGAAGAGGGCGACTTCTAGGGCATGTAAAGAGCGACGAAGGACTGACAAAAGGCAAAGTTGCAGGGCGAGGGCAGTAGACTTACAAGTATGTATGGATTCCAGGAGATGGCACTAATTCCTCGGAGCTCAGCTCTCGTCCAAATTGGGAAAAGACACGGGCTGATTTGTTTTGAATGGCAGAAAGAATCCGCAGCTGTCGATCATCATGCGAGTTAGCAGTGTGAACTCCTCGATACAGTGGGAAGAATGGCCCTGGGCTTTGGGCAGCGTGTGCTCAGCAATGTAGGGCGTCACGGCAAAACATGCGGGTATCGACGTGAAACCCACCAACGGGAATGCGGCGTAAACACGGCTACCGTAGACTTACATTGAAGATGAAATAGATATAGTAAGTTAGATGTTAATTGAGTTGGTTGATATTGCAGGTGAAGACGTTTAAGTCCAGGCAACATTTTGCCAAGGGATCACCCGTGTGGAGTAGAAAAGTAGTAAACACACAACATCCATCCACGTTGAATACTTACACGGTCAATATCCTTTAGTTTAACGTTTAAACCACTTTAATCACGAGATTATGGTTCTTATAGACAGTACCACACATCTTTGCCTTTCATCGCGCATGCCCTGATCAGCAGGCTGTTCACCCAGCACCGGCACCAACATTCCAATCTATAAATAATTACAATTCTGCAGCGTGATGACATTGATCCCATGTGGAAAGGCTGGGCAATTGTAAAGTGACGCCGTCGCATGCTCGCAGTAGAAACCAAGTGATACGTTACTCAAATACGAACTACGGCCGTGACAAGGTGAACAATGTAGATGCTTTTTGACGAAACTTCTGTAACACGTCGTGGTAATGGGTCGTGCCAGTTCATGGCACTGGATATACAACTGAACACACATTCCAAACCCCAGGTATATACATTTAGAGCATGGGCTTCTGCATAGGCTTGATAATGCCCTGCTTGATCATGACACGAGGTTTGGTACCACTCTGGAAAGTCTCCTTGGTAGACCACTCAGGGCCCAGAGGCATGCGCAGAGACCGTTCGTACTGTTGCTTGGTCTCGAACTCATGTGGCAACTGGCTTGCCATGTATTTTACGTTCTATAACAAAGTTAGCTGACAGTCACTACTGATGGAATAAAAAGATTGTCTTACCTTCTTGACACGCTTCTGGTTGATGATCACCCGATCAAGCTTGGCGTCCTTGCGCTGCTGGGGGTTCACACCCTCCACAGTAGTCAGATCACGCTTCTGTCTCTTCTGTTGTTTCTTACTGACACCGTCACCGGCCCAGCTACCCCAGCCTGCGAGCGTGTTGTCTACTACCTTGTCGCCTTCGTCTTCGATGGTGTCCATCTTATCTTGTTCGAAATCTTGGACGACTTCATCGCCGGCGAAGGCTCGCTTTACAAGATCATGGTTCTTGAGTAGGACGGGCACGCTCTCCTCATCATCGCTGTCGTTCTCGGCATGAAGTTGCTTTGCGGCAGCTGTTTTGGTGTTCTGCTGCTTCTTGTTCTGCTGCTTTGCTGGGGCAGCTTGAGGAGCAACATCAAGCGAGATATCGATAGTCTCTTGGGCATCTGGGCCAGTCCGACGACGGTTGGTCCGCTCAGTCTGAACCAGCCAAGGATTCTCCTCTTCAGCAGGGGTCTCCTTCTCCTGATGGGAAGAGTTGCGTGAAGGTTGTGAAACATTCTTGTTGGATGTCGATTTCTGCTTCGCAGGAGCGTCGACAACAATGTTAACATCATCATCTGATCCCGCTCTCGCCGCCTGTGCGTCTTCATCATCGGAGTCAAGGGATTCTTCAAACTCGTTCTTGAGCAATGGCTTGCGAGGCTTCTGCTCAGGCTTCGTCGACTTGCCGAACTTTCGTCGACCGACCTCCGAATCCGCCTCAGACTCGGACTCCTCTCCATGAAGCTCACGCTGGAGTTTGCGGATCTCCGCATCGTTTTGCTCCTTGCGGGCGGCGTCGGCTTTTTGCATGAATTTCATAGCAAAGAGATCAGCATGAGGTCCCTTCGGGACGTCCTCATCGACATCATCACCATTGAGGGCCTTGAGCTTCTTCTGGATCTTCTGTCTTTCCACATCAGAAGCATCCTCAGCCCAAGGGTCGTCTTCTTCTGATTCGGAGCTCGATTCCAAGTAGTCGTCTTCCCCAGTAGAGACACGCTTGCCTTCGATTCTCTTCCGCAACTCCTCCTCTCTTTGGGCTAAATCGGCCGCGCTGTTGCGTGCCTCCTCATCCCACGCGGTACGACCGCTCTGCTTCAGACCCTTGGACCATTTGCTTTCACGGTGCTTGGAGCCCATGCGAGCTTCGGCTCTCATGCGCTCACTCTTCTCCTGGTCCATCTCATCTGGATCCACGCCTGCTTCCAGCAGTGCCTGGCGCTCTTGCTGCTCCTGCTTCTCGCGCTCCTTGCGGTGAACACGGCGGTAAGACTTGCTCTTGATCTTCTTGATGCGCTTAGAACGCACTTCCTCTCGGAAGAGTAGGTCACGTCGCTTGCGGAGCTCAGTGCGTCGAGCTTGGATCTCCTCGATTGGAATGTTGCGAGCCTGCAGTTCTTCGAAACTCTGGATCTGGTCCTCGGCCGACTTGCCATCGGCCTCAGCCAGTCCACTTTCCACAAGAATGTTCTGGATAGCACTTTCCAAGTCATTTTGCGGCTTGGCAACATCCATCTTGTGATTTTGCTCAGCTTCGGGATCAGGCAGAGGGAACGACAGGTGCTCGGCCCTGCGATTGGCTTTGACAGTTTCGAGCCATCGGTTAAGAGTTTCCTTGCTCTTTTCGTAGGCCGCAGCACGGTCAAGACGATCCTGCTGGCGCTTGGCCAGAGGAGCGTCTAGCTTGCCCGGAATCCCAGTCTTGGACGTCTGAGGGGCAGAGTCAATATGCTTGAGTGAGTTTTTGAGGCGAGAATCCGTAATGGAAGGGAGTAGATCGGCGACGGTCAATTTGTTGGAGGATGTCAGGCCGTATTCCGAAGGCTTGCCTTGCTCTTGTGACTTCTGGGTACGTCTCGTAGGCTTTCCAGTCTCCAGAGCCTGGACAAAGTCTTGTAGTTTTGATAGACCGTGCTTGTCTGCACCATCGTCCGAGACAGAAAGGCCGTCGTCGCTCTCCTCGCTTTCACTGTCCCCCTCTGATCCCGAATCCTCATCACTGTCGTCCCTGGCAGCCCGCTTGGCCTTTTTTGATGCTTCCTTGGCGTCCTCCTCTTCGGCAGCAGTGTTCATATCCCAAGCAGTCGCGAGGTCAACAGCAGCCTCTCCCAGGTCATCGTCCTCATCTTCGTCATAGTCACCTTCAGATTCCTCCTCGGACTCATCGATATCTTCGTCCAAGTTGATCTCACTTGGCTTTTTCGCCTTGGGTTCCGCTTTCTTTGGCTTGGACTTGGACTTGGATGCGCGGAAAGTGAAGCCCTCAAATCGCTCTTCATCACTCTCGCCCAGAGCTTCGTCACTGTCCAGTTCACTGTCGTCGTCACTGTTCACTTGTCCGAGTGTCCATTCGTGTCCTTCACTATCGCTGCCGCCGTCGAGGCTTCCGGTGTCTTCGGTTCTGCGGCGCTTGTGATGCTGGGCCTCTTCATCTTCGTCGTCATCGCCCTCCTGATTGTTTCGCTTGCGGTTGAAGGAACCGTCATCGTAGGCTCCTAGTCGACTGCGTCGAACACCTAACTTGGTCGGGATTTGTTTCTCTGCAATAGACAGCGCATTGAGGGCCCGGCCGTTCTTCCGTTTCTGCGCTGGCTTTTGAGCCGAGCGGTCTTTGGGACCACGCAGCTGAGTTTGGCTGCGAGGCATGGCGAAATTAAAAGTAGAGTAGAATAGAAGCCTCAGATTAGTACCGGTCAAAGTACTGAATCATCCGACGGCTGCTTTCAAGAGGGGTGTAGATTCGTTGAACTTTTTTTCCTGGCAGAAAAAAGTTCTCGGCGCGGAGATTAGCGCGACCCGATCATTCGCCGACTTTTGTCTCCCGCAACACTTCCACTCAATCAACTGCCCACCTTCGAACCGGCATCATGTTTAAGCCTACGGAGCCAATGCTCATGCGCTTGCGCTTGACCACCAAGCAGGTCAATGGCGGATATTACAAGGGAAACCGGACCGGCTCCATGGGTGTCTTCGACAAGAAGGGCCAGTACAGATCCCAGGTGGAAAAGCATCGCAATTATATCCCTGCAGCCAAGCTTGAATTGCCTGGACTGCCTGAGGGTTCGAGCACCAAAGAACCATTCCTGGTTAGTGATTAATGCTATTCCGCATGCCTTCGGAGCCCTGCTAACATGGCTGAAGCTCACTCCCTTCGTCACAAAACACATGCGACCGACGCCTTCAAATTACGTGCAAGACCTTGAAAGAAATGGCAAGACAGTCACCGTGATCCGAGGATTTGAGGGCGCCGATTATCTGAACATGTGGGCCGACACCCGCGAGGCCTACTTCGAAAAATTCCCATTCCCGAAGAAGTCGAAGAAGTCCGAGAAGTCGAAGAAGTCGACAGAGGGAACCTTTGATCAATGATAGCCCTCTCGTGGGTCTGTGAGCCCCAGCTGAATGTTAGTATACTTCCAATCCAGCACATAAGAGTGCCTACTAACATTTGTGTCCGGCTCAGCATACCATCCGCAATCATCTACCTGCGCAGCATCAAATGCTCACCTTGGGCCTTTCCCCGCTAGCCGATTGAATATATATCCCATGTATTATAGTCTTTACAACATCATTTGGAATTGGACGGTGCGCTCCTTTTTTAGAGGCATCGGTGGCCATGCTCGGTCATCCGCATAACTCCGGGCCGTGGAGTCTGGTTTTGAAAGAAGATTCTATGTTATAGCACTGTTGTTCCATAGTAGCCAGTGGTACTGCATTATCTATACCTATAAGCCCTGGAATAGCCACAATGACTGTGAAGAGCGTGGAAATAAGGCCCATGTCCGAACATAAGCGCGGCACAGGCGTGGCACGTGCATATAAGGAACGATAAGCCTCCATATCGGCGTATGTCATAGTTCTTCATCTTTTCAACCCCGTGATGCGGGCTGCTTCGTTTGCACCTAAAGCGAGTCTTCCTTTTCACCCCAGAGCAGCTCCAGCTGCATCATGTTCCAATCATTCACAGGCAGCTCTCGTCGCCCGCGACAGGTGAACCTCAGCGGCCGTGCCACTAATCCCTTTGCTGCATTCCCCGGAAACTCCCCTACTCGATCTACCCCTCATGCCGCAAACCCCGAGACCGCAGTCGCAATTGCCCAGCGCGAACGGCTCCTAAGGCAGCAGGAGAGAGACCGACAGACGGCGTCTCGCGTCATCCAGCGAGTCTGGCGGGGCCACCGGAGCAGAACAGCAACATACAAGGAGTGGAGGTCAGAATGGGACACATTTGAATGGGAGAGGGCCAAGCATGCTTTGAGTTTAACCGAGGGCAACGATAGGGCTCCAACGACAGATGTTGAGCGTCTGCAGTGTCTTTTGCGTTGTTCTCCACCACCATACGCCAATGCAGAGCAATGTCTGAATCAACTCAGGCTGTTCGTTCAGTTTGTGGGGTCGCCGAGGGACTTAGAAGACATCCTACGTCTGCTGTACTTCTGCAGGGTCTTTGAGAAGACCTTCCACACCCTGCCTACGATCGCCACGGAAGGTGAATGGACCGAGCTCTTGAAACGGCTGGCAATCGCTGTTCTGTATTCCCTCGGCTCGGCAACGAATACTTCAACTCATGGAGAAGCGGTGTTACCTCTCCTCCGGACGGTGATTTTCTTGGTAGACTTGATACCGAAGAAGATGGCAATGATTGCCAACACCTACTACCATGCCATGGCACACTTGACAAGGAACCTTGTCTCTCTGAGTGATAATCTGGCACCAGAACATGTTGTGAATGCTGCTATTGCCCTTTTACGGCCAATCACATCGGAAACGATGGCAGCTTATGAAGCCTTTGCCATTTCATATCTGAGCGTCCCGGACTTAGCGGCCTATCTTGGCGGACTGGATGGATTGGCCCACCAGATCAACTACAAAGTACTGGCTTCGGCGGTTGGGTCATGCATGCACCCAGCGAAGGCAAGTTCTTATGCCCTTCAGGACGTCACGGCTCGAAGTTGGCTGCTTGCATACCTGATCTACTTTCATCGATACGCCCTTGGTGGTCAGGCTAACATTGGAGCCCCTGATCTTGGTTTCTTGACTGTAGTATCTGAGTTGCTGAACTCAACAGCTGCTTATCTCACACGGTGCTTGGAGACAGAAGAATCCAACGAAACCGACTCATCCAACGGTCCTTCTTTGCACCCATTCGTCAAGGACCAAGTCACCAGCCTTGTCAATCAAAGTAGCATCACCGGATTGCTTTCACGGATCAGACCGTCCCACCTGACCCAAACAGATATCTCCAACAGCGAATCTGGCTCGTCAAAAGAAGCCAAGATTCTTGCCACATATGCCTTGAACTTGTTGAGGGTATTCCCTCGACGAGGAGATGATATCCGAATGTGGTTGTATCTGGGTTCGGCTCCTTCAGGCGATCAGGTGTCCGGCCAACCAAGCACGAAGATCCCAGCGATCAAGTACTTCTGGCAGGCATCTAGATCCAGTCGGGTTTTTGATATCATTACAAACGAACCGACCAAAGTTCTTTCGCTATTAGAACTCCCGCAACCGGGTTCACGCATCGAAATCCCACAAGAGGATCGTGACCAGGAGTGGACAATCATTCTCCTTTTCTTTGAGCTCTACACATTCCTTTTGAAAGTTATGGACGACGAAGAATTCTTCTCGAGCGCATCCCCGTTCACAGCCTCCTCTAATACCAAGTCCTCGTGGACGAAGGAAAGCGCCCTGCCCCTCGAAGATGTCAAAGCGATGACCGTCTTCCTCAAAAACCTCGCCTTCACCCTTTATTGGAACTTTGCCGCCTTGAGCGACAAAGTGCCTGTTCCGACGTCCACCGGTGACCTTAAAAGCTATTTTAACACCGCGAGTCAAGTTCCCGAGCAAATGGAGCGGTTCAATGAAATCCAAGCCAAAGAACAACTCAATGATCTCCCAGGCGTCACAGGTATTCCCCTGGACTATTTCAAAGGGCTAGTCACAGGATTGCTCAGAATGCTACATGAGCGAGAGTAAGCTAGAAATGCGCCGTGCGGCCCGGTACCTTTACTAACCACCAACGACTCTTTAGCTCACGGAGAAAGTTCCTTCCTAAAGACCATTGGCTTATGACCGACCGATTTGACATGGAAGGGTTTATTCCAGCCGTCGTGGGAGAGGAAGAGAAACGCCACCAATTCCAGGATGACGAAGACGATGAGCCCGATCTTCTAGACGACGATACCGTGGAGCCTTTGGGCATTGCCGGTTCTAACCACGCCGTACGAACAATCCGCATCGAAAACCTACGACGTCGTCAACGGCAGGCCGCTCGTGGAAAGGCCCTTGCTGCTATCGCGCCTAGGCTAGAGATTCTCCGGAACATGCCCTTCTTCATCCCGTTCGCTACCAGGGTGCAAATTTTCCGCCAATTCATCCTCAGAGATCAACAGCGCCGCCGAAATGGATTTGTTGATCCTGAGACTTGGCGTCTCTCTGTAGCCCAACAATCCATGATGAACAGTCAGTTCAATGCCCCAGATGTGCTGGCCCGGCATCACGCCGACATCAGACGTGAGAGTGTGTTTGAAGATGCGTTCTCCCAGTTTTACGGGCTAGGTGATGGTCTCAAAGAGCCCATTCAAATCAGTTTCATTGACCAATTTGGATCAATGGAAGCCGGTATTGATGGGGGTGGTGTGACAAAGGAGTTCCTGACTAGTGTCACAACCGAGGCTTTCAAGACTGACGATGACGGGAGCATGTTTGCAGAAAATGACCAGCACCTGCTGTACCCAAACCCAGCAGCGGTCGACCAACTCAAAGAACTCCTCAGTGATGCTGGACTTGCAAAGACGAGTGCCGAGTGGCAGGACAATGTGCGTGGTCTTCTTCGACGCTATGAGTTCCTCGGACGTGTCATCGGAAAATGTCTCTACGAAGGGATTTTGGTGGATGTCAATTTCGCGCCCTTTTTCCTGTTGAAGTGGGCACTCACAGGTGGTACTGGGTCTGCAGTGAAGGAATCTTCCTACCGTGCCAATTTGAATGATTTGAAGGACCTTGACGAGGGACTCTACCAGGGTCTGGTGAGTGTCACTGCGTATTGATGTTGATGTTTTTTTTCTTACTGACCATACCATTATAGTTGCAACTGAAGAATTACCCCGGCGATGTAGAAGACTTTGCTCTCGACTTCACAGTCAACAACACAATTCCGATGCCCGGCGGCACAAATCGAACTACCACAGCCGAATTGAAGCCACAGGGTTCACAAATTGCCGTGACAAACAAGAACAGACTGGTCTACATTTCCTACATGGCTCGTTATCGCTTGCAGGTGCAACCTGCGATGCAGACCAATGCTTTCTTGCAAGGTCTCGGCCAAATGATCCAACCGGCCTGGTTGTCCATGTTCAACCAGTCCGAGTTGCAAACGTTAGTGAGTGGAGAGAACGCCGATATCGACGTGGAGGATCTCCGCCGAAACACCATGTACGGCGGCGTTTATGTGATCGGCGATGATAACCTAGAGCATCCGACCATCCAACTGTTCTGGCAGGTTCTGCACGAGATGACCAACGCCGAGCGACAGAAAGTCATCCGGTTTGTCACGTCTACCCCTCGAGCACCACTGCTGGGATTCAGTCACCTCAATCCCCATTTCTGTATTCGAGACTCGAGTGAAGATGAAGAGCGACTACCGAGTACCAGTACTTGCGTCAATCTTCTCAAGTTGCCGCGGTACTCGGATGCTCGCACCTTGAAGACTAAGCTGCTGTACGCAGTCAATTCGGGAGCTGGATTTGACTTGAGTTGATACAATTATTATTCTGTCATATTGTTGAGAGTTCGTTGTTTTGTGTATATCGCCTAGACAGGTTGTTTGTAGTTTTGCATGCATAGCATGGGCGTCGAGGAATGAAGAGATTCTTATTGGTTGTTTGAGCATTCCATTGTTCGAAACTTCCCCGACTTGCCAGGTAGGCCAAGGCTACTCTTTGTATGTTTGAATGTAAATAGTAGTAAAATAGCAATACCATAGACAATATCAATCAAGTACAGCTGCACTGTATACTCCTATCGGGTAAGCCCTTAAAGCGGCAACCACCATTCCCAAACAGGCTAGCGCCCCCATCTCGTGCTCCTCTGAGTTTTCCAGAACGCCTCGTCTTTCACGGTTCATCTTTTTTTCCCTTTCACCAACCTTCTCCAATCTCTCTTCTTTAGGGAAACCCTTTTCTTTTCGAATCTTTATCGAAAGGCAAAAAATCTAAAAAAACACGAAAAACCCCCAGAAAATTTTTCCAGTTATCTTATCTCATCCCTCCCGATTGTGCGGTGTGTTGTGTGGAAGATTTTCTTTCAACGACCGCCTCCATCGTCCTTTTTTTCACCTGGTTAGTCACGTCGTCTTTGCCTCGACTTTACTCGATTTCTTTTCAGAGTCGTGTCATTTCAGTATTCGCATCTATTTTTGATGCGACACTCTTGAGTTACATCCCGCTAATACCTCGCAGTGTGTTCTGCTCAGTGAAATTTCTCCAACCTCTTTGTTTCGTGGATACCTTGCTGTATGGCTTCCCCCCCCCCTTTGAATTCCCCTCGCCTTTCTCGTTCTCGTCCTCTCCATGGTGGCTTGTCAAAGAGCCCGCATGGACTGTCGTGTAACCTCAGTTCATCTGCCTCATATCTTCCCCTCCCCCTCTCTGCGATAGGCTCGGCATGCACATGCTAAAACGTTTCTTTTTCCAGTAACAACAGTCAAAATGTCTGCTGAAGCTCCCACCACCGCCCCCGCCACTGACAACGTTGTCAACGGCACCCCCGAGGCCAACGGCTCCCCTGCCGCTGCCGCCGCTGCTCCCGAGCCCGCCGGCGAGGGCGCCAATGCTCAGCCCCACTCGGCTTCGCTCTACGTTGGCGAGCTCGACCCCTCCGTGACCGAGGCCATGCTCTACGAGCTCTTCTCCTCCATCGGTCAGGTCGCCTCCATCCGTGTCTGCCGTGACGCTGTCACCCGTCGCTCCCTCGGCTACGCCTACGTCAACTACAACAACACCCCCGATGGCGAGCGTGCCCTCGAGGACCTGAACTACACTTTGATCAAGGGCAAGCCCTGCCGTATCATGTGGTCTCAGCGTGACCCCGCCCTCCGTAAGACCGGCCAGGGCAACGTCTTCATCAAGAACCTTGACAACGCCATTGACAACAAGGCTCTTCACGACACCTTTGCTGCCTTCGGTAACATTCTGTCCTGCAAGGTCGCTCAGGATGAGTTCGCCAACTCCAAGGGCTACGGTTTCGTCCACTACGAGACCGCCGAGGCCGCCAACAACGCTATCAAGCACGTCAACGGTATGCTGCTGAACGACAAGAAGGTGTTCGTCGGCCACCACATCTCCAAGAAGGACCGCCAGAGCAAGTTCGAGGAGATGAAGGCCAACTTCACCAACATCTACATCAAGAACATTGACCTCGAGATCACCGATGATGAGTTCCGCACCATGTTCGAGAAGTTCGGAGAGATCACCTCCGCCACCCTCAGCCATGACAACGAGGGCAAGAGCCGTGGTTTCGGTTTCGTTAACTACGCCAACCACGAGAGCGCCGCTGCCGCCGTTGAGTCCATGAACGAGAAGGACGTCAAGTCCCAGAAGCTCTACGTTGGCCGTGCCCAGAAGAAGCACGAGCGTGAGGAGGAGCTCCGCAAGCAGTACGAGGCTGCCCGCATGGAGAAGGCCTCCAAGTACCAGGGTGTCAACCTCTACGTCAAGAACCTGACTGATGACATTGACGATGAGAAGCTCCGTGACCTCTTCGCTCCTTACGGTACCATCACCTCCGCCAAGGTTATGCGCGACTCCGCTGAGCGCTCTCCCTCTCCCGAGGGTGAGGAGAAGGAGGCCGACAAGGAGAACAAGGAGGAGAAGACCGAGGAGAAGGCCGAGGAGAAGACCGAAGAGACCTCCGAGGAGAAGACTGAGGAGGGTGAGGACGCCGATAAGAAGTCCGAGAAGAAGGCCTTCGGCAAGTCCAAGGGCTTTGGTTTCGTTTGCTTCAGCAGCCCCGATGAAGCTTCCAAGGCCGTCACTGAGATGAACCAGCGCATGGTCAACGCCAAGCCCCTCTACGTTGCTCTCGCTCAGCGCAAGGATGTCCGCCGCAGCCAGCTTGAGGCTAGCATCCAGGCCCGCAACACCATCCGCCAGCAGCAGGCCGCCGCCGCCGCTGGTATGCCCCAGCCTTACATGCAGCCCGCCGTCTTCTACGGCCCCGGCCAGCAGGGTTACATGCCCCAGCCCGGCCAGCGTGGCGGTATGCCCTTCGCTCCCCAGCCTGGTATGGTCATGGCTGGTATTCCTGGTGGACGCCCCGGCCAGTTCCCCGGTCCCTTCCCCCAGCAGGGTGGTCGCGGCATGGCCCCCAACCAGCAGATTCCCCCCAACTTCCAGGGTATGCCCATGGGCATGCAGGGCCCTGGTGGCATTCCTAACGGCATGGGTTACCCCATGGGTGGTCCTCAGTTCGGCCGTGGCGCCGGTGGCCGTGGTCAGGTTCCCGGTATGCCCATGAACATGCGCGGTGGCCCCGGTTTCGGCCGTGGTGGTCCCCAGATGGGTCGTGGTCAGGGCCGTGGTCAGCCCGCCCCCGGTGGTGCTCCCGCTGGTGCCGAGACCGGCTCCGCTAGCCAGGCTCTCCTGTCCGCTCCCCCCGCTCAGCAGAAGCAGATGCTCGGCGAGGCTCTCTACCCCAAGATCCAGGCTCAGCAGCCCGAGCTCGCTGGCAAGATCACTGGTATGCTTCTTGAGATGGACAACTCTGAGCTTCTTGGCCTGTAAGCTATACTTTCCCCTACTTTCTTGTGAGATCATTTACTAACAACCTTTCTATAGGCTTGATGATGAGGAGGCTCTCCGCGGCAAGGTCGACGAGGCTCTCAACGTTTACGACGAGTACATGAAGAACAAGGGTACCGAGGGAGAGGCTGGTGACTCCAAGCCCCAGGAGGCTGCTAAGGAGACTCCCGCCGAGGAGAACAAGTCTTAAATGATGTGTTCATCCTCTGTCTTTCGGAAATCTTTGGACGCACGTTTTTGATGACCTTTCCTTTCTCTTTTCCAACATTTGTTCCTACCTTTTTACCCTTTCCGTCCCTATCTCTCTCCCTCTGATCCTGATATCCCTCGATTCGAAAAGTTTGTGTCTTAGGCAGCCACCTTATTGGTGTTTAGTGAATGTGGTATGACATTCGGATTTTTTTTTTCATTCTTTCGATGAATTTCCCGTTTTTCTAGTATGCCCGGCTTTAGCTGGCAGTGTCTTATGGCAGTTCGGTAAAAGTGTTTTTTTCCCTGGGCGCTGGATGCGGTTTATCTTGATGCTTCACTTTATTCCTTGTCTTCTTTCCTTTCGCAGGGCGCTATGACTTCTTTTCGATATCGAATCCTCTTCCCTTTTTCCATTTCGTTCATACCATGTGCTTTCTGCTTGCTCTTTATTGAGTACTACATAGATCTCCTTATTCGTCGCGGAACGGCACACGCTGTTCCCAGTGCTTGTTCTCGGGTTCGTCAGAGCAGCAAGAATCAATGAACGGCCGTGGCCTTGTTTCTTATTCAAGAAAAGTCTTCTTATAACACCGTAAAAATTTGCAACTAAAGTTTTACGATTCCAATCCTTCCCAGTCCTCGGTTAATGGCAAACGCCACCACGGGGATTTATACCAAATGGCCACTATAGTCAGCCTCCCCGGATGTAAACCACGGATTACTCAGCCTCTCTAGAACATTTCGAAAGCTTCGAAGAACATCTCACTCGCACGGAATGATATATGCACAATGGCGTCAGAATTCGTACCTGAGACACCCGAGATCGGTTCCTTGACAGCACACTCAAACGAGGACAGCCAATTCGTCGGCAGCTCCAGCGGCGTCTACTTCATCAAGACAGTCAAGCGAGCATTTAACGACCTAGATGAGCGAGACTCATCAGAGACAAACTTTCCCACAGCAGAAGATACCCTAGTCGGTCCCGAGGACTCACCTCGCGAAAAGCGACAGCGCACTGCATCAGTCAGAGACACCTCGACAACGGAAGTGGAGTCACCAACAGAATGGACCTACGACCCATCATTAACAGAAGCCCTGGGAAAGCTACCACCCCCAGACATGGCAAAGAGCCTCATGATGATGTACTTCAAAATCTGGCATCCTCTCTTCCCATTTCTGCATGGTCCCACCTTCCTACAGGCAATGGAGAAGATATACTCCACGAATCAAAGTCCGCCTTCACAGCCCTCCTGCATAGATCACCGCAGTACATGCTGGACAACAATTTTCCAATGCGTCTTCAACCTGGGGAGTCTCCTAGCACCAGATTTGAATCTACCATCCGAGTCGAAGATCCAATCACCCGGCAGTATCAACTCGCTTCTCGGGACACTCTCCTCTCGGCATGATATTGCGTCGCTTCAAGCACTCCTGGCTATACAAGTTTACCTTGTTGCCACTATGTCACTGCGACAGGCATCCACTGTTGGTAGCTGTGTACTACGCTCAATGCTTCATGCTGGTCTTCATCGGTGTCCGTTTCGATATAAGCAACTCTCCACGCATGATCGTCAGTTACGAAAGCGCATCTTTTGGTGCGGATATGCTATTGATCGGTATCTGAGTCAGGCCCTGGGATTACCGCTTGGTATCCAGGATTCTGATATCGATGTTTGTCTACCTGCGGCGAGGGAGATGCATTCCCCTGGGGTGCAGGCAAACCAAGTGAGCTGTGGAAAGACGCTTGGCTCGACATCCGGTGGAAATGGACATCCTGGAGGTGATAAACGTCGAGCTTCACACTCCCAGTTTGGGAATAGAGAAGACGACCACGGGAAAGAAGCCATTCTCGCAAGCTATGTCGAATCCGGAACCCTCACAGGAAGAGCACTAGAACTCTTCCATAAGTCGATATTGGTTCGATCTGTGCGGCGGACTTCAGTCTTGTTCCTTGTGACGGATGTGCACAAGTGGTGGAACGGCCTTCCACTCGATCTCCAGCGAAACCAATCAACATCTGATCAAACGGCAGGGTCTGGAATGGTTGACAGTCCGTTTGATTTTAGTCCCTTTTTCACCGTGTTATATCAGCATCTCATTCTGATCATTCACCGGCCTTCGTTGTCATTGGATCCGTCAACTGCGGAATTTTGTTCTGGATTGCAGACTTGCATCGGAGCTGCTCGGTCTATTCTTTCGGCACTGCGGTTGCAAGTGCATAGTCGGCAAGCTTTGTTCTGGCCGGGATTTTTATCGGCTGCGTGGATGTCAGGGTTGGTTTTGGCTTTGGCGTGCCAGTTGAAGCAATATGTCCTAGCCAAGGGACTTCAGTATGTGTCTTATTGATGTTTTCTTTGCTATTGCTGTCTACTGACTATTGGTAGGGAAATTCATGAGTTTTCCGGGTTTCTACGTCTAATGTCTGATCAATGGGAGACAGCCAAGCATTGTCACATGTCGCTCTCGGTGCTAGCTGCAAAGATTAAAGAGTCAGAACACCGTGCCAATTCAACAGCCAACCCCCACGTCTATGCGCGAGGCGTCCCTGGAGAAGACTCCACGCTTATGGATTCTTTGAATGCACGCGAAGAAAGAAGACGAAAACTAGGCGGTGCATCGCATTCGCAAGAAGACCACAGATCCTCCACAGAGCCGAGCAATTCAGAGCAATGGGATCGAAAAGTGCACCCAGACACAGACATTGACAGGGTACATTCGTTGGGCAGAGAGCATGGCTTCACAGCTATCCCGTCAGTCCTTGTTCAACCATCAGACATGAACGACCAAAGCCTTCTCACTGATACGCCTTCTTCGACGCAAATGAATTTCCAGGATACCCAACCTACTAATTTTGAGGGAATATCAAACTTTGACTTGAACATGGTCGACTTGTTCGAGGGAGCCAATCTTGATTCCCTTTTTGATATGCTTGGGCAGCAATTTCCTAGTTTCTAGCGACTTGTCTACGGCTACACTTTTCAAAGCCATTGATTGCAATGGTAATGATCTACGGTATACTATTTCGGAAAAAAAAAACAAAGTGATCAATTTATAAGAGGTCAAAAGGCCATATGCAACTTATATCATGAAACAGCATGTCTCTAAAACAAATCTCGCCAGACAAAGAGAAAAAGGTCAAGCAGGTGATCCACGGAACAACAAATTCCTGTCAATACGAACTTTCCCTGAACGAATCTCCTGCCTATACCAATCGGCCTGCAACTCAGCAGCAGCAAGGATAGACGCCTTGTTGGGGTGATAGTCACCGGGGACCTTGATCGAGATACATAGCGGGTGGGAGTGGTGCATGGGGCGCACAGTGATAATAGCAACGCCAGTGCGAATACACGTCGCGACAGTGCGCATGAGTGATTCGTCGTCGCAGGTTATGTCCTGTGGACTTAGGAAGACGTTTACCCAGTTTGTGATTTCTCGTGGGCAGAATTCGGCTTCTTGGATTAGGGTGCCATCTAGGTAAAACATGCTCCCTGCGAATTCGTTAGTTACTCCGTTATTCATGGTGTCTGGGCCTGGGGATTCACATTCAATGGACGGAGTATCTGGTAGTGATAAGTAGGGGTGGGTCTCTTTGTTGAAGCCCATGGTGTTGTTGGATTTGACTGACCTTCTTTTCTGATTTGAGATTGGATGTTGATGTTGATGTTGATATTGATGTTGATATTGGTGTTGAGACTATAGATTGGATACTGGAGGTTTGCTTTGATGTTTTCTGGATATTTTCCAGGTGTGATTTGAGTATTTGTATGTTTTGACTGAGACATGATGCTATTCTCATATATTGAGCATGTTCATTTAGGCCTCTGTTGAGAACAAAGGGGTTTCTCCCTGTGACAATGGCATTTCAAGTCCCTCATCTGCTTTCTGGAAGGTCAAAGGCTTTTCTTTCTGTTTCTTCACGAAACTACTCGTTAGTGAATCTTTCTAGAGCGTGGAATGATCCATGAATGAACTGAAACAGCAATCAAAATGTCTTGACTCGAAAGGAAAACGTTCCAAGGCCGTTCTCTTCACACCATGAACTATTATCCTCACGTTGAAAATAAGGAGTTCTTTGCAGTCATTGGTTAAATCTCTATGTGATTTTATCCGTTGCATGGAAGCTATTGGTCCAAGACGAGGCCATTGTGAAGAAAGAAAAACACGAAACAATGAATTATCTCTCCTTTCAAGCCAACTTCTCAACCTCCAAACACACAGCATCCACGACCCCCTGAGTGTCAGAGGTTCCTCCAAGATCTGGCGTCAGAATCCCGGCAGCACAAACGCGTTCAACGCAGCCCATCAATTTAGCCGCGGCATCCTTCTCACCCAGCCAGATGAGCATCTCCGCCGCAGACCAGAAAGTAGCAACAGGATTCGCAATCCCCTTCCCAGTGATATCAAAAGCACTCCCATGAACAGGCTCAAATAATGAAGGATTCTTGCGCGTGGGGTCAAGATTACTAGAAGGCGCAACACCAATCGAACCAGCCAAGGCAGCCGCCAGATCCGATAGAATATCCATATGCAGATTCGTGCCAACAATAGTATCAATAGACTGCGGCTTCGCAACCATCCGCACAGTCATCGCATCGACAAGCATCTTGTCCCACGTCACATCCGGGAAATCCTTAGCAACAGAAGCAGCAACTTCATCCCAAAGAACCATCCCGTTGCGCATGGAGTTACTCTTCGTAACAACAGTCAGCAGCTTACGCGGCCGGGACTGCGCCATTTCAAATGCGAATCTCATAATGCGCTCGATGCCGACCCGCGTGAACAGGGCTACTTCTGTTGCTGCTTCCCATTGCTGGCCGACGTGGGACCGTCCGCCTTGACCTGCGTACTCGCCTTCGGAGTTCTCGCGGACGAGCATCCAGTCGATGCCTTCTGTGGCGGTGGTGAGGGGACATTTTGTTCCTGGGAAGGTTCGTACGGGGCGTACGTTGGCGTAGAGCTGGAGAGGGCCTCGGATTGCTAAGAGCAATCCCCATAAGGAGATGTGGTCAGGCACGTCTGTTCGTGTTTGGTCAGCAGGGGGGCTTATAGATTCTGTAAACTCAGTTAATCTTACCGGGAGCACCTACAGCACCGAACAATGATGCATCGTAGCTGCGTAGGGTGTCGAGGGCATTGCCGGTCACGTAGCTTCCGGTTTGCTTGTAGTGTGCTGTGCCCCATGGGATGTGATCGAAGTTGATATCGAATGTACCTAAGGTCTTTGCCAATTTTTCTACCACTTGGATTGCGGCACTGACTACCTCGGGACCGATTCCATCTCCGGGGATGGAGGCGATCCGGTATGAAGACTTTGTAGTCATGTTGTGTTATAGTATAGATCTGAAAAAAATAAGATGCAATTTGAGTATGAATAGAGTGACTATAAATAACATTCAATCCAGTGTTACTCGCATACGTTTGAACATGAACTCGGCTGATAATTCACCCAGTGTCGAGTATAGAAGTGAATTAGACCAAATGGCCGCTATGATCTCCCGCGGGTTCTCCGCAGTTGTCGGCAGAACCTTCAGGCGATGAGATCTGCCACATCCCGCCACCGTTCGACTACATCTGCAATGCAGTCTTGGCCTACTCAATATTCAGGCAACAAGCAAATATGGCATCGAAATCAAAAGAAAAGAAGCCCGGTCGTATCACAATTGCTTGTAATGCGTGTCGGTCGCGGAAGCAGAAGGTTGGTTGCGTCCTTATAAGCCCGCTCAACTTGGTACTAACAGAACGTCAAATGCAGTGCAGTGGAAAAAAGTATGTATGAATGGTTATACCCAGAACCTCACTGTATTAATTCTTAACTTGAAAAAGACCTGTATGTGAACAGTGTCTCGAATACAACCGGCCATGCAACTGGCCTGAACAACTCCGAAGGTATTTCCTCGGCAACAACGAGTTACAGACAGAGCTAACAGCAATACAGAGGCCCAGAGAAGGGATACGCAGAAGCACTGGAAAACCGACTCCAGCTCACAGAGAGCATACTACTCAATCTCCTTCCGCACGTCTCAGACGAGCAACTTGCCACAGCACTTCCTCCTAAAGAGGGCAGCCAAGATCATAGCACGCCCTACGTGCCATTTCCAAGACTTGAAAAGAGAGGAATAGAATCTTGGTCACAGTTTCCTCTCGATACTTCTCATGGCATCCGACGGTGGCAGCATGCTTATGCCGACCCCGAAAGGGCTGGTTGGGATGGGCATCAGGATCTACCAAGTCCCAAGAGAAGACGATTACAGAACGAGGGATCCTCCACATGCAATAATACTCTAGCTTCGGCTTCAATCCCGACCTCGGGAATTGGAGGTACATTCAACGGAACATTCTCTCCGCCATCTCTCAACATCTCCAACTCGATCGAAGAATACCCGACTCGACCAACCGAGGCATATGAAGGAAACATCCCGTTGCAGACAATAAGCTCGTGGAACGGGGCTCCTTCATCTGAATTCCAGCGTCAGTTTCTCTGGTGAAAGCGAAGTCATATTTGGTAGTGTCGGAAATCCCCCAATGCCCCGCAGCTCCCCGCAGGAAGACGCGAATGAAATCAATCGCTGGCGATTTTAGACTGTGACATCCCAACTATAGTGGGATGGCCCCACGGTGGGAACACTTAAGACGTGGTTGGTGACGCCAAATCGTTTGTCTCGGACTTTTATTGCTTCGGGGGTTCTGGAAGTGAAGTATACAAACCAGCTTTGCTGCTAAAGGATATGGCGATCGAAAAGGTATATCTATCCCACCGTTGGGTGAAACAATAATTTCTTACCATTATTCCCAGGTCATTGTCGTGGGCGCAGGGCCATCAGGTCTAATCCTCACCCTCCTCCTCTCCAAAAAAGGAATATCAGTAGAACTACTCGACGCTGGCACAGAACTAGACAAACAGCCACGCGCAGCCCACTACGCCTCAGCCGCCACCTACGAATTAGAACGAGCAGGCGTGCTAGACGATCTAAAGGAGCGTGGCTTTAGCCCAGAGGGCTTCGCATTCCGGAAATACGATACCAGCTTCATCGCCGGAATCAATCATGCATCATTGCCCGAAGACTACCCATACAAGATGCAAGTCCTGCCCCTGGATCAACTGGGACAACTTCTTTACGAACACATCCAGCGCCAGCCAAAAGCAGTGGTGAAATGGTCTCATCGGGTCGTGAAAATCGGCCAGGATCAGGGTAAAGCGTGGGTGGATGTTGAGACTACCAGTGGAACACGTAGATCGCAGGCAGACTATGTTATCGGCTGTGATGGGGCTAGCAGTACCGTTCGACGAGAGTTATTTGGACCTGAGTATCCTGGCGAAACACTGAATGCTCAGATCATCGCTACAAATGTACACCTACCTACCTACCTACCACGCGCTATACCCTATACCATCTCCAAAACAAAAAGCCCAAAACTAACTCAGCCCCATCTACGACAGGTATACTACGACTTCGACCGCTACAACTACTGGGATGCAAACTTCATAGTCCACCCAACAAAATACTACATGGCCGCCCGCATAACGAAAGATGGCCTCTACCGAGTGACATACGGCGATATGCCGGGTCTCAGTAGAGAACAGTACATCGCGCGCCAGCCAGCTCGCTATGAGGAGATTTTACCGGGGAGTCCTAAACCTGGTGACTATCGAATCACGAATATCTCGCCTTATAAAATGCAGCAGAGGTGTGCGCCTGCTTTTCGGGTTGGGAGGGTTTTGCTTGCTGCTGATGCGGCGCATCTTTGTAATCCTTTGTAAGTCTATCACTTCTTTCTATTATGGGTTACCTATCCGAGGGGATTGGACTTGTTCACTGGAGACAGAGAGAGAGGCTAATTGTTTGCCGTGGCTTTGTAGTGGTGGTCTTGGACTTACGGGTGGAATCGCAGATGTGGGAAACCTCTTCGATGCACTTGTTGGTATCCACGAGAATCTTGCGGACGATTCTATTTTGGATAAATATAGTGAAGTGCGGATGCGTATTTGGAGAGATATTATCGATCCTATGTCACGAGAGAATTTCCGAAGACTTTGGGATCAGGATCCTGAGAAGGCACTTGAGAATGATCAGTTCTTTCGGATTTGTAAGGAATCCGAGACGAACGAGGCACTTGCGAGGGAGTTGGCTTTGGTGAGTTTCTTCTCTCTCTTTTGGGTTACTTTGACATGAGTGCGAATAACTAATCTGGATATAGGGACTGGATGTGCTCAGGTTCGATATGACGCAGTTCTATAACAAAACGAACAACTCGGTTGATTCTCGTGGGTAGTTGTGAGTTGTCTGTTTAAAGGAACTAGCACTTCCCCGATCTTCTGCAATAGACCGCATTATATTCTATTCACAAATTCCAAGTAAATGTCTCATCAAACGAGAACAAGTCCTCTTGAAATTCCTGGAAATTAGCAAAATCCGCAGCTAGTGCGGACGACTGTAGCAGATCTGGTAGCTGAGTGATATGAGGAGAAGATGTAAATTGCGAGGCAAGATTGTTGCTGGATGGAACCATAGAGTCCTGCGTTTGGTACTATAACAGCGTTAGTAAAACCAAAACCCCAGGCGTGGTGCATTTTACGTACACCAAAAGTAGAATGCTGATCTGTAACAGCAGGTAAAAGATACTGCCGGCAAGCAGAAAGAGCTTTCTTTGCGCCCTGTGTCATCCAGCGATCTTTCATTTCGGGTGAGCCACGGCCGCGCACAGATTGCAGGACTACTGCAAGGAGAACGATATCTTTGACGCTATTTCCTGCTTCGCCGATGCGGCGGGATAGGCTGTCGAGGGTATTTTCCACCAGTCTTGTTAGACTGGCTTTGCTGTGTGATTGGTGTTGTTTGATGTTGAGATCTGAAAAACCGTTCGGGGAATGTTGGTTCGTAGTTGGCGTGTGCTGTGTATATTGCCCCACGTACTTGCATACACTGAGAGCAGCCCATAACACATCGTTCTTGCAGAATGTGTGGAAAATATCCCAATATCCGTGGGAGTTTTGGGTGTCTAGGTCGGCTAGGTTGGGGTCGAGGTAGTCTTGGTAGGACAAGATCATCAATGATGAGTCTAGGCATGCTCGCTGTATTTCTTGGGGGGCACGGCTTTTGTCTGTGTCGACTGGTCTGTATAGACAAAGAAGGGGTCGACGTATGTATAAGTCTAGAAGAACTTGGCTCATGAGGACGGGCGGCATGATATCATTATTCAAAGTGCAGTCGATCTTCAAAGGATATGGAATGTCTCGTAAGCATTCTTCTAGTATTCTGCCTAGCTTGAGTCGTTCATCTAGTTTGGTTTCGGATCCTGTTTGCTGTATAAACTTCATAGCCTTGATACGGTGCGACAACGTCCTGGCGAGAGTGACCAGAGGAAGAGTGTCAGTTGATTCATTCAACGGTCTAGGAGCAGGGAGCTCGGTGGTGGACTCGTCAAAATCGGCGTCATTTAGGTTTGCGGGGCTGAGTGTATGAAAATCGACCTTAGGCGTCATGATTGGCATCCCAGAGGTGATTGAAGCTTGGAGGTCCATCTCGGCAATGGTGATCCACAATCGCCGCCTATTCTCAGCTTGAAAGACCGACAATTTGGTAGATCCAGAGGGATCGATATGTAGTCCCACTACCATTGCAGAGCGGACAAGTGAGCCGGCAGCTTTCCATGATTCTTCCGCGGATGTTAAACGAAGTTGGCGGGCTAGGAGCATGAGTGTTTCAATTTGGAGGGTTGTAAGCTCTGTGCGGTGTTTCCTTGGGAGTTTCTGTAGCCATGCTTGTAAGCGACCGACTGCATTTAATCTCAAGTATTCCCAAGAAGTGCTATTTTCCATTTTGATGCTTTCCTCTCCCAAAATGATTGAGACAGTCAATACTGCAGTCAGTTGAGGGATAAAAGGCGAAGATAGGTAGGACTCATCCTCAGGACTTGCCCAGAAATGAGCATATTGACGAAGAAAACAAGGAATGTGTAGGATCCGCAGTGTCTTCTCAAAGTTGGTGGTATAGATAGCCACCAGCCTGTCACATATTGACTTCGATGGAAGGGACTGGAGAAGCTGGAGCAACTCGGGAAAACTCTCCAATTCCGATATAGACTGCGGAGAGCTCAAAGGCGCTTGCGTCTTGCTCTGTAGGAACTGTACTTCTTTGGCAAGTTTCACAATGGAAGAGTCTTTGGAGCATTGATTGACAAATCCTTTGGCTTCCGCGAACTTGAAGGTGTCAGCTGATGATAGGCAAGAGACAGAGTCCATCTCACCTGATTCAACAGAGTGATTCTATCATTTTGACCATGATAGCGAGATCTTGATCCCTTGACTACCAAAGTCCCCAGTGATGACTGCAAACCTGAGGGCTGTACAGGTGTATTGCTTGGCCTGTGGAGTCAATAAAGCGGGTCTGAGCGATCAGAGATTGACATACCAGGAATTCTGACTCGATACATCCGGTTCATTGACAGGCCGACTCGCAAGCAAGCCCTCGACTCGAGTCAAGCGTTGTTGAAGATCCTCGATGATGCCGATGCCGACTCCTTTCGACTCATTACCAAGCACATCGACACTGAGCTGCACGCGCTTTGGCTATGAAGGCAATTCTGTCGGGTGTTGAAAACCAACCCCTACCTATCCCTCCCCGACACACCCTCTATTAGATGTAAATCCCCAGGCCCAGACACCGTGGACAATGGAGTAACTAACGGATTCGCAGGGAGCATGTTCTACCTAGACAGACCCTAGTCCAAGGACCCGAATTCAACCCACGAGAAATCATAAACTGGGTTAACGTCTTCCTAAGTCCGCAAGACATAACCTACAACGACGAAACGCTCATGCTCACCGTCGCGACGTGTATTCGCACTGGTGTTGCTACTATCACTGTCCACCCTATGCACCACTCCACCCGGCTGTGTATCTCGATCAGGTCCCCGGTGATCATTATACCAACAAGGCTTCCATCTTTGCTGCTGCGGATTTGCAGGCTGATTGGTACAGGCAGGAGATTCGTTTGCGGAAGGTTGGTGTTCACCGGGGTTTGTTATTCTATGGTAGAGTTTGATCTCTTTTCTTGTTTTCGAGAAATATTGTCTTCATGGTATAAGTAAATATGGTTTTGATCTCTTAATGAATTGATTATATTAAGTTTCTGAATTATAACCGTAGATCATTGTGATATATGACGCACCAGTACTGGTGGAGCATGAAGGATGCATGTTTGCCGGACTTTGCTGGACTGCATGCTTGCTGGACCGGACGCCGGTTTCAAGCTCCATATAGGGCAAATGCCCCGAATAGGAAGGTGGTGAGAGCTGGAGTCCGAAATGATTGGACCACGGAAAGTATAGAGGTTGGCAGTATCCAGGCCCCCTCTCTTCCTCTTCCTTTCCTCTCTCTCTAGTTGAGTGTTTTACTTTCAATGAACTCTTTTTGATCAAAGACTTGCATCTGACAATCATCACCATTGCACTGCAATGGCTTCGAAAATTGTGGTCGTCAGAAATTGGGAAATTGCTGACCAACATATCAAAAACAGAATCGAGATTGGCTCCCTCGATTAAGTCGACCATGTCCAAGTCGAAATTCGACGTTCCCTCGAAATTAGTAGGATACATATGTTAGAAATTCATTTATATCGAAGAAGGGGAACAGTTTCAACACTTTGCTCACTTCGACCCTTTCCGTGACCCTACAGTATTTCGAAACACGCTAGTGTATATTTAAATTAATTTGTTTCGAACTATCGAAATGTATTGTAAAATACTATCACATGATAGCTTAGTCCATAAATAAGGTGGAACGACTAGAGGTAAGGATACAGTCGTTATTGACCACGTCCTCCGTAAGCGCCTACCTATCACCACCTGCAGCACGCTAATACACCGTCCACGGAAAGGCACTGAGGCCCCCTCAAAGCTCGATATAATTCATGATGTGACTTTAGCAAATGACAGACTACGTATCCGAGTATCGAAGCCACTGAGCGTAATTTGCGGTCATCAATCGATTTCCAATAACTAATTGTTCAATAGTCGTATAACTCTGTCCAAATCCCCGCCCCCAATGTGAGTAGCGCTGGTGGGGTTTTTGAAGAACAAGCTAATGCACGGGCGGTCACATCTGAGAAATTGACTGTCGACACGTGTATCTGTGGAAGCGCCCATATATCGCTCCATGATGAAAACCAGATGGACTGTTTCGCCTGATAACCTCTCTGTCGACAAGCTTCAGATCTACTGCCCTCTACAACCTACTTTCTCAATATCGTCAGACGGAACATGCGCTGCTTCATCAAAAGAAAATTCACCAAGAAGAAAAAGAGCGATGGAGATAAAGAAGATGGCGCACTCCATTATTCGACCGCAGCACTACACACGTCTAGCCCTGCTAAGTCTTCCCGGAACATAACGACCTCTGAACAGCCTCCTGGTGTTGCCGAAAAGCCTTCCGAACAGGTCAAACCAGCTTTAGGGACTTCCAATGCTGGCCCGGTCCCAGGCTTTTCCGAATCTCCCAGTTCATCAAGTGACGACCGCGATATTTGGGCTCGCGCATATAAATTATTACAGGATCGAGAGCCCAAGTTGACGGAAGACTACACGAAGCACTTAGGCTCAATGCGGCACAACAAGCCAGCAGACGCAAATCTCTCAATTCCGAAGTTACTCCAGCAGGTTGTGAAGCTGCTGCTGGAAGAGCGAGAGAAGAAGCAGTGGCGAGTTTCACTTCCGGGAAAGGATGTGAAGATACGAGAGCAAGTTGAGAAATTGACCAAGTTTCTTCTCTGGGCCGACCCTGTCGTCCAGAAAGCGGTTAGCACTCAGCCATATGCAGCGTTAGCATGGGCTGGAGTTTCGCTTCTGCTACCAGTAGGTCAAGACAATCCCCGAATGTTGAGTTAGTATTGACTCGGAAAGCTACTCTCGAGTGGCACAACAAGCAATATAGCAATGCTAAAAGGCTTCAATTCAATTGACGATGTTCTGATCTACTGGGATCTCTGCCGGAGGAATTATATCTGTTCTAAGCATAGAGAAGAGTATCAAGAGCTCATGGAGCCTTTGGCCAAGCTCTATTCCCATATCCTCGAGTACCAGGCGCGTTCAATATGCCATCTTTCCAAAGCTCAACTCTCCCGTGCATGGGAGAATATGGCCGATGGGGGCTATTGGGATTCAATGACGACGGAAATTGAGAGGTTGAGCAAGACTTGTAGTAGCTACATCCATCCTCTTGAGGCAGAGGAAATTCGCAAAAACAGAGATTCTCTGCTTCAGGAAATGCGGGAGTCACGGAATAACCTTGATAAAATTCGGATGATCTTGGAAGCGAATGGGGTGCAGACCCAGAGGAATTATGAAGATGAGAAGGAACGAGAGCTCCTTCAAAGCCTCGCCTCTGGCTATGAAGATGACAAAAATTTCAACCCAAAGAGAGTCCAACACACATGTGAATGGTTCTTTCAGGACAACCAACTTCGAAATTGGCGTGACAGCGAGACGTCTAGACTTCTCTGGATATCTGCTGGCCCTGGCTGTGGCAAGTCAGTCTTATCGCGGGCTCTCATCGATGAAGACAGGCTTTCTACGAATATCACGACATCCACGATCTGCTACTTCTTTTTCAAGGATGGAGACGAGCACCGCATGTCTGCCACGAATGCTTTGCGTGCAATACTCCATCAGTTATTCACACACCATCCCACCAATGCCTTACTCCAGTACGGAACCTCAAGTCATAGAAAAAACGGGGAAAATTTGACAACGAACTTTTCCGAGCTCTGGCGACTTCTCATACAATGCGCCAACTCACGAGAGGCTGGGGAAATCGTATGTGTTCTTGATGCCTTGGATGAGTGCAAAAAGAAGGACTGGGAGCAATTAATTGACAAGCTAAGAGAATTCTATTCTCCATCCGGGCATTCGTCTTCGTCGAAACTCAAGTTTCTGATCACTAGTCGCCCATATGATGACCTGATGGCATCTTTCAACAAACTCCGTGAGGCATCTTTCAACAAACTCCGTGATACAGATACCTACCTGCGTTTTGACGGTGGGGTGAAGCATGCCGAGGATATTGATCTATTCATTGATGCCAAGGTGAATCAAATAGCCAGGCATTTTCAGGAGCGCGACCGTCAAATGATTTCTAAACACCTCAAAGGCATGGAGAATCGCACATACCTCTGGCTACATCTTACGTTCGATATTATTGAGCAAAGTCCGAGTCAATATGGTCGGCGATCGGATGTGGAAGCACTTCTTTCTGGCCTACCTTCCAAGGTCTCAGACGCATACGAAAAGATTCTGGACCGGAGCCAGGATGAGATTAAGACCGCAACTCTTCTCCAACTTGTTCTGGCTGCGGCACGACCACTGACGCTTGATGAAGCCAACATAGCCTTGACGATGGCTTTGAAGGAGAAATTCAGTTCGTATGCAGAACTGAAGGAGAGCTTATGGCCAGACGGGGACTTCGAAAATATCGTGAAGAATCTATGTGGTCTCTTCATCAGCGTCTACGATGGGAAGTTGTTTTTCATTCACCAGACAGCGAGGAATTTCCTCCTTGAATCCCCTGAAGGAAAGTGGAAAGGGCAGTTTAACATGACACGATCACACATGAAGATGGCGCTGCTATGTCTGTCATATTTGTCGTATCTTGATGAGCAAAGGCCAATCGAGGAAATCAGGTCCAACTTTCCATTGGCGCAGTATTGTGCTTCATACCTGTTGGTACACGCACGGCCTGCGGAGACAGAGAAGGATGTGATGGACGCTCTATCCAAGTTCTTCTTCGAGCGAGGTCAAGCATATACAGCGTGGGGCAAGCTCTTTGACCCAGATCGGCCTTGGCACGATGAGCCGTTTCGGTGTCACCCCATGGCTACTCCATTTTACTACGCATCTCTAGCAGGTCTTCAACGCACAGTTCGACTTTTCGCAGAGAACGGCGCTGGGGTCAGCGCCCAGGGTGGCCGTTTCGGAAATGCTCTCCAGGCGGCGTCATCTGAAGGCCACAAGGAGGTCGTGCAGTTGCTACTAGAGAAGGGTGCTGAGATCAACGCGCAGGATGGTTATCACGGAACTGCTCTCCAGGCGGCTTCATATGGAGGCTATCAGGAGATTGTGCAGCTGTTGTTAGATCAGGGCGCTGAGGTCAACTGCCAGGGCGGCCATTATGGAAATGCCCTCCAGGCGGCTTTAGCTTCATCTAGAGGCTATAAGGAGATCGTGCAGTTGCTATTAGAGAAGGGCGCTAAGATCAACCCGCAGGGTGGCTTTTACGGAAATGCTCTCCAGGCGGCTTCATATAGAGGCTATCAGGAGATTGTGCAGCTATTGTTAGACAATGGCGCTGAGATCAACTACCAGGGCGGCCATTATGGAAATGCCCTCCAGGGGGCTTCATCTGGAGGCCACAAGGAGATTATGCAGCTGTTGTTAGACAAGGGCGCTGAGGTCAACTCCCAGGGTGGCCGTTCTGGAAATACTCTCCAGGCGGCTTCATTGAAAGGCCATAAGGAGCTCGTGCAGTTGCTATTAGACAAGGGCGCTAAGGTCAATACGCAGAGTGGCAGGCTCGGGAATGCTCTCCAGGCGGCTTCAATTGGAGGCCACAAGGAGCTCGTGCAGTTGCTATTAGACAAGGGTGCTGAGATTAACGCGCAGAGTGGCTATCTTAGAAATGCCCTCCAGGCGGCGTCATTCACAGGCCACAAGGAGGTTATGCAGCTATTGCTAGACAATGGCGCTAAGATCAACTACCAGGGCGGCTATTATGGAAATGCCCTCCAGGCGGCTTCATCTAGAGGCCACAAGGAGGTTGTGCAGCTATTGTTAGACAATGGCGCTGAGATCAACTACCAGGGCGGCCATTATGGAAATGCCCTCCAGGCGGCGTCATTCAAAGGCCACAAGGAGGTTGTGCAGCTATTGTTAGACAATGGCGCTGAGATTAACTGCCAGGGCGGCCATTGTAGAAATGCCCTCCGGGCGGCGTCATCCAAAGGCTACAAGGAGGTCGTGCAGTTGCTGTTAGACAAGGGTGCTGAGGTCAACGCGCATGGTGGTTATTACGATAATGCTCTTGAGGCGGCTTCAACTGGAGGCCACAAGGAGATAGAGCAGCTGCTATTGGGTAAGGGTGCTGGCTTCAAGAATTAGGGTGACAGTTCGTTAGACTGGCAAAACCTTTATAGCTCTTGTAGCGAAATATTGCATAATCTCTATTTCAAACAAATTCACCCAGGATTTGGTCCATTGCAGAATGGTGGATCGCGGGCTAACGATCTCGTCTCGCTCAACTAGGCCTTCAAAATCCCAAATCCTCGGTGACACAACATATAAGACTACCTTGTTTTCAGTAATCCTCCAAATATTGCAACCTCCGACTTTGATGTCCCGAGAAGAGGGTGGTTCATCTCCTGACACAACAGCATCTCTTTTTAAATATTCCACAGCCATCACCAGTCATATGTGAGAAACATCGTGGACTTCATTGTAAACTTGTCTGAAGTCGGATATGAAAGGGACACTTTTGATTTTGGGCTCAATCAATTGAAGTTTTTGAGTCATAGGAGCCCAGAGATCTGGGACGCGGGTTAGCCTTTTAAATCAATGAGTCGAATGCGACGATGCAAGGGACAATAATGCCACCTGTATGAAAAACGAGAGCTCCATTTACTAGAAGTAGGATGCACCCTGGAGTAACCAACAAATATGCTCATATCTTTTGCTTTTGACTTTTGCTATCAGGTAGTGGTGGGAAGTAGCATGTGTCCAATGGGCAATCTCCAGATTTCTTCTATATCCTCAGTCCCTATATGGGATCTGCACACCGCCACACAAAATTTCACGGTCAGCTGTAGACCGCTTTCCTGATTGTTATTTACTTGTACGCCTTGCATACGCCTTGGGCCACGCAGCCCCTTGAATACGTACTAGAACCAATGATAGCTGTGTAATATAAGTCGCAGTCCAAAACCTCCAAGGATTCTCATCCGAAGATTAAGCTCAGATTGCCAAGATATATCGGTTTTATAAAACTACTGCCGTGAAGAGTGCATGTCAAGCCCCTACAAGCATCTATAGAACCCCCACTGTGGCGACCCACATCGGCCACCATTTTCCGAACAGACAGTAAATCGGAGATGCCAGCGATTGGATCGGGTATTTCTCTGAATTCATAGCGTAAAAAGAATTTGGCTAAAACATCCTTCCATCAGACTTTACCCCGCACTGCTATCGAATAGCTCTCTATCCAGTCGAGGCTCGGTATTACAAATGACGGATAGCATCGCTTCAAGGGCGAACGAAGACTGAAAAGATGCCAAAGTCCAGTGATTATTCGAGGTCTAAGCGACATGCAGTGATGGCATGTGTAGCATGTCGGGAGAGTAAAGTCAAGGTGACTTATTCAACCCTAGTAATCGAGCGACAAGGCTAATTCTCACAGTGTGATGGTGATGGCAATGAGAAGTGCTCTAGCTGCGTGAACAAACAGCGCGAATGCCGATACCAGGCCGTGGACAAGAGAAAGTAAGTTTGAGACATGAGCTACCCCGGTATATACACAAAGCTAATCAAATGAAGGTTGCCTTTGCGAGTTGCCATAGAGCTGCTAACAAGCAGGGTCAATCAGCTGTATCTATTCATTTATCAAAATGGATTAGAGCCCCCATGCATGCCGCAAGAAAAGGATGCGGCTCTAGCAAAAGTCCTTGATATACTCGGGCTGACTGAATTTCACTCGGCTTCATCTCAGCTTGATGCCAGTCTCTCGAGAGCCACAGTGGCTGAGCATCTACCGTCTGATGCACCAACTTTGTTGAACTTGTCTACTGATCCGGGTATTACGAAAAATGCCGAGAAACTAAGAGATCACGGCTCTCCAGGAGATACTTCCTGCGCTTCTCAGCCTGATATCATGCATATCCCAGATCCTCAGACCGTGCCCACATTGCCTATAGCTTCCAATGAGACTGCAGGTATTCCAATCACAGATCCATATCCCCTGGATAACGCCTCTGATGTCTCCCTAACCAACTTGAACTGGAGTTTAAATATCGGAACATGCATGACTCCACCATCTCCGGACATCCAGAGTCTACTTGGTTGCACCTCGTCGATAGAGACACTGGAGCGGGAATTGGAGGGATTGCCGGACCTTTTCGAACCTCCTGCCACCAATAATCCAGCCAGTCCCGACAAAGCGGCAAGAAGTCCCGAAAGGATAGAAGACCTTATCGACGAACTTTCTGATCGGGTGGGAACACTACGCTTCGGTCCTGAAGGACAACCTCATTTCTATGGTCCGACTTCGACATTCAACCTCCCCGATGCTCCTGTGACTACTAAACCCCAGACACATCGCACCTTGGATTATCGTGACAGTGATGTTGACCCCAATGGAGAAGCCCCGCTAGCTTTAGAAGAGCACCTGCTCAATCTATATTTTACCTGGCAAGACCCATCGTTCCATGTGGTTGATCGAAGCATGTTCGAGAAGGCAAGGAGGGCTTGGCACGGAAAGGAAGAAACGCCGTTCTATTCCGAGGCACTCTTCTACGCAATGTGAGCAGACTATCTGGATCTCGATGAATATATTCCCGCTGACCACTACAAACAGGTGCTCTGTCGGTGCAGCCTTTGAAACGCGATATCACCCATCATTTGTCACATTTCCAAAGTCTTTAGTGGAACACTTTGGAGACCGCGCAAAGGCACTTCTTGAGATTGAATTGGACTCTCCCTCTGTAGCAACAGTTCAAGTACTAGTCATTCTGAGTAGCCATGAGGTTGGAAACGGCCAAGATACTCGAGGGTGGCTTTACAGTGGTATGTCTATCCGATTCCAGTCTCGGACTTGACTGAATAACAATTATAGGAATGGCTCTACGGCTTGCCTTTAATCTCGCTCTTCATATCGACCTTTCTTCATATGTTGCCCGTGGATCTATCACTGCTGCTGATGCGGAGCTACGCCGGACTGTTTTCTGGGCTGCATATATGGTTGACCAGTAAGTCTCCTTGTAATTGCTCCTTCACTTAGGGTTTCACACTAAATTTTATGCAGACTTGTCGGATTCTATCTAGGCAGACCTTTCTACACCAACATGGAGGATGTGACAGTAAAGAAACCAAACGCTGACGCTCGCCACCAAGAACCTCCCAAATGGACACCATACGCATGTCCTATCTCATTTGGCAGCAACTACGAGTCACTAGACTTCACCGAAGCCGTGAGTGAACAAGAAGTTTCTCTTTGTGAGATTATGGCGCCTTGCGGCTATTTCCTGTATGTCTTCCGTTTCTCCTCTCCTCTCTTCGTCTCGTCCCTCGGCTGATATATGATATGATAAAAGCTACGGAAGCTCAAGCATCTCAAAACTCCTCCTCCAACAACTGAACGTCAAGATCGTCGCCCGTCTCCTCGACTGGAAAGCCCGACTACCACAACCCCTCCAAATAAACCTAAACGACCACACAACACCCTATCTCCCCCACGTCCTCCTCCTCCACATGCAATTTTTCCAAAATCTAATCCATTCCCACCGACCTTGGATGTCAAAAGATTACCTCCAGCCCCAACCACCCGTAGGACCAGGCCATACGCACGCACGAGAGATGTGCATCCAATCCGCAATCTCCATCGCCAAGATCCTAGTCCTCTACGAAAAGCGATACACTCTCCGCCGGATAAACGTCAAAGCAGTCTCGATCACATCCTCTGCCATTCTGCTTCTTCTCTTTGCTGCCGTGGCACACTACCCACTCGCAAAGAATGAAGATATAACTGCCCACCTCAGCACATGCTTTAGAGCTCTTGATGAGTTCTCTTTGTCTTGGCAGAGTGCTAATAAAGTTAAAGATCTGTTGGTCAGGTTGCAGTATAAATGGGAGTTGAGGACTCGAGCTAGTAAGCAGGGTCGGGCTTCGGATGGGGATATTGATCCCCCGAGGAAGAGGTCGCGGACGGTGAATGGATCTGGAACTGGGACTGGGGCTTCAAGAGCTGATGAGGGTATTTCACTTGCGCATCCTAATCTTCGGGATTTACAGCCGGATTCTGGGTTGGGGTGGATGCTCATGCTTAGTGGGCAGCTTCCAGCTGACGGGGACGAAGATCTTTATTCTTTTGTTGCTAATACTGCTATTCCTGGGGTTGACTAGTCGCTGGGATGTTTAGCGAGTGCAATATAAAGCTCGAACGCTTAAGTCCATCAAAGATAGCTGTATCTTCCTGGTCGGTAACTTCTTGTCCATTAACGTTACTATAAAACACAAACATGTTGAGCCGGCAGCCTGGGTCCTTTGTATAACAAGCTGTCTCCCACACGAGAGTCTGAAAGAGAATCTGGAGCTCTCCCTTGTTGTCTTACATTAGGGACCAAGGTACACTAGGATAATATTCTCCAATATATCCTCTGCGGTGCCTCGCATATATGGTGGAGCACGTTTAGGGCTCGGGTGTGAATCCTTCTCATCTGCGGGGAAAGGCAATTTCAGCTGCAGCTAAATCCTTAGTGCACTAGGATTCTAAATCAGAACCTGTGTTCCCCTGGATATGCCCGCGTAGTTCTCACAAAGGAGGCACAATTGTTGAACTAGATAAATTGAAAACAAAGTGAAGAGTGTAGTGAAAAGAAAGATAAAGAGACGCACCTTCAGGGCTCTGGGCTGCCTCTCGGGGAGTGGCTGACTAACGCGCCTTCCCCGAGTTCGCGGGATTGAAGGTTCCCCTCAACTTGGGAATGTTCCGGCTTTGATTTCATTGCTCAACGAAGCTGTGATGGTCCTTAAAAAGTGTAGTATCTGTTCGAGGGTCTTCTCCAAGACCGAACATGTCAAGAGACACGAGCGGTCGCGTTAGTCACCTTCCAACCCCAATGAACATACCTAACGCGTGGAATAGATACCAAAGAACGCCCGTACCAATGCAATGTCTGCTTGAAGCGGTTCTCTCGGAGTGATGTCTTAAGCCGACATGCCAAGGGCCATGAGACTCAGCTCACTGCGACGGGTGGCCCATCAGATGCGTCAAATCGACGGTATTCTGCCATAGCCGCGTCACCGATGAATGCAGCTCCAGAAATCCCAGCCGTCGCCGAAGCGTATCAGCTTCCAAGTCTTTCTTCTACGCCGCGAGATATACCACTCGTGCCGCATCATGCCCGCTCCGGATCAGAGCTCGGGGCAATGATGATTGACGAACAGCAACCTTATTTCGGGTGGAATGAGGTCACTCCACACCAAGCACCTCACAGATCCAACATGGCATTCGATCCTGTGCCCAAGGATATGCTGCAAATGTGGTTGGAACCTCACCTGGTCATGTCCCCAGGCCAGCAGACTCAGCACTCAGCCGATAGTGTCAAATCGAGCAGCGACAATATCCCCACTGAACGATTCTACAAGGTCCAGCGGTGCTGGCCCGCACCAATCAACAGTGGACGACTCATCAATAACTTATGGCGAGATATTGCGTTTTCGGTGGAGGACAATGTCTTCTCCGTTCAGTCATTACATCTCCCCAGTGAGGTGACATTCACTGAAGGATCACGGTGTGGACTGGACGAGGACTGCAGACGACGACTACAGGCGGCGTTTGGCAATAGGCCGTCAATGCATCCGCACATGCAGTCTCCAAATAATGGAGGCATTTCCCCAGTCACTCCTGTCTCGGCTATGAGCCATTTGCCCGATTTCCCGCCTGCTGAGATCTTGGATATGGCACTCGACCTTTATTTCCGTATCTCTCTTGTTCCTTTCGTTCATTTGCCGACATTTTCAGCGAGGAAGACGCGACCCTCCCTCTTGTATGCCATGATTTTAATCGGCATGACGTTGCTTGACACCAAAGGGACAACCGATTTTGTCTCTCGAAATTTCACTGTAAGTTGTTTGTCAAGGCCCATTCGTTCATGGTACCCTAACAATTACATTTAGAGTGTCTTAGAGCAGGTAACAGGGGAGTTTTCTAGATGCACCGTAGGAGTTGAGAATGCCTCGGACACTATGACATTGTTCGCGACAGCCTTGCTATTCCTGCATCTTCCTCTTTTGACAGGGGTATGACCCTCACAGACCCGAGAGTGATTTTTCGATGCTGACTGTTGTTTAGGAAAAAGAGCATCTAGAGCAATGTCAGACATTATACGTGAACGTCATGACCGTGAGTGCAAGACATGTACATGATTCTACATCGTTTTAACAAATTTGATAGGTTTCCCAAAGACATGGCCTCTTTACCGGGGGACAGATCCTCGACATGAGCCTATTCGAGAGATTTGCCGATCTCGATATGAGATGGAAAGCGTGGAGCAAGGTTGAGTCAACCAAAAGGTGAGGCATCGCTCAAATAGGAAAATTCTACATCTAACCATCCACCAAGGATCATCATTGGACTTCTCCTCTTGGACTCTTGCTACTCATCCTTCCTCTCAACAAGCCCAATAACAAACCCCGACACAATCCAACTCATTCTCCCATGCGGCGACGACCTCTTCAACTCTCACTCCTCCCACCGCTGGATGCAACTCATCCGCTCCGGGAAACGTATTCTTTCCTCAACAATCAACGCACCATCTGAAAACACCAACATCCCCAACCTCGAAAACCCAACCGAAGACTTTTGCATCCAAGCCATCCTCGCAACCGTCCAAATCCGCCAATCAGAAGCCTACCACCGCCTCCTGTCTAACAGAGCCAGCTACCCCTTCGCACCATGCCACACATACGCCATGGATGGCAGAGCAAGGTGTCTCCCCTCACTCCAATTCCAACTCATCACGAACTACGGGGAAACCTTCGACCGCCTGAGTCCTAATGCTCTCATCATGTGGCATCATATGTGCATGATGTTAACAGCCGATATCCAAATATTCGACCTAGCCGCGGGCCGTGCAGGCCCACTTCCAGCGCGCAAAGCCCTCGATCAAATCGCCGAGTGGGCACAGACCCCAGCAGCGCGACGGGCTTGTCTGCATGCTGCGCATATCTACAAAGCGATGACGAACCGCAAAGCCTCCGACCATCCTACCTTCCACTCCCTCTTCTCCTGTTTCTCTGCTGCATTAGTACTGGGCCTGTACACTTTCATGGTTCCCGACTCCGCGAGCTCGACAAGTATTGGGTCTCTGGAATTGATGGATGATGTTGACTGGTGCTCGGTGGGCACCGAAGGCTTCACGAGTTTCATGGAGCCTAGAGGCAATCAGGGCTTCGCTTCTACCGATGATCCTGCTGTGAACTTCATTCGAAATGGATCGACTGTTTACCTGCGGGGCACGTCTTTCCATGGCGGATATCAGTCTGCTCGGAGGGTTCTTCTTGATTATGCTTCGCTTCTTAAGGATTCTGGGAAGTGGAGTGTGAAAAAGTTCTCGCATATTCTATTTATAATGAGTGATGTTCTTATGGACCTGGAGTGATGATACCTTTACCATTTTTGGCTGGAGTATCAAGCAGCGTTTGATTCTGTCCGCATGTACATTAGCCGGGGAGGCTATTTCTGTGCTTTAGTTAAGACGAACCTGACGAATTGTACGATTTACTTGCGTAGTCCATATAGCTAACCAACCAACTGTATATTTTGAACACTTTTTTGTGCACCACCAGCTATATATATATGAGCAAATTATATACACCAACAGTAGCAACCCCTCATCTATACAAAATCCCCTCGACCATCTCCCCAATAGCCAAACAACTAGTCAATCCAGGACTCTCAATCCCCAAAAGATTCACAAACCCCGGCAAACCCTCCTCCTCCCTAATAATGAAATCCTGAAAACCACTGCCCTCATTAACAGCCCCACCCCTCCCCAACTTAGGCCGAATACCACAATAATCCAATGAAATAGCATCAACATCGACACCAGGCATATAAGCCCGAATCTCAGGCAAAGCCCGCTCCAACCTAGCAGCACTAGGAACAAGATCATCAGCGGCATCAACCCATTCGACATCAGGCCCAAACCGAATCCGGCCACCCATATCAAGCGTCAAATGCGTCCCCAACCCCCCAGTCCCAGGCATCGTAACCGGATAAACAAGCACATTCGTCTTCGGCCGACTAGCCGCATAAGAGAAATAAGTCCCCTTAGCATAATACGGCACAAAATGCCGTTCAGCAGGAAGCAACATATTACTGATCTCGCACGCCCCATGACCAGCCGAATTAACAAGCGTCTCAACCGTAATGCACGTCTCAGATCCGTCTTCGTCGCTCACAGCAGTCAGTTTATATCCACCCTTCCCCCCGTCCACAGGTTCGACCCCCGTCACCCGCGTCTTGAACGCGATGTCCCCGCCCCGCTCTTCGAATGATCCTTGTAGGTATGTCATTAGTGAATGGCTATCTACAATACCGGTCGTTTCAGATTCCAGAATGCCCGCGTCGGCTCTGACGTCTGGTTCGCGGTGACGGGCTTCCTCACGGCTTATTGGGCGTGTGGGCGCGTCGAGGGTTTGCGAGTGCGCATGTATCTTTAAAGCTGCTTCCCATTGCTCTGGGGTTTGGGCTACGATCCATTTCTTGGTGTTTCGGTGGGGGATGTTGTTCTTTGCGCAGAGGTCGTAGAGGAGGTTGCGGCCGTGGATGCAGAGCTTTGTTTTTAGGGAGGTTGCCGGGTAGTAGAGGCCTGCGTGGATGACCTGTTTGAATTGGTTGGGTTAGATTGGAGGCTGAAGTTCGGGTGGATTGGTCCGGTGGGCTGTTTCTAACCTCGGAGTTGCGACTGCTTGTCTCGGTTCCTGGTGCATCGTGTCGTTCCAGTAGGATGGTTGATGTACCCTCCCGAGCTGCGAGTTGTCGGGCAGCAGCGAGGCCGACGACTCCTGCGCCTATTACCTTTCGGTAAACGAGTTAGCTAGGTTTGTTCATTGCGTTGTATGCGGTGCGGCCGGGGGAGGAGGGCATACTGCATGCGTGAAGTCGGCGTTGGTGGCTCGGGTGCTGGAGAAATGGCGCCTGAAGCTCGGAGCCCGTATATTAAGGAAGGAACGTGAATACATTTTATACACACACAACCAGACGCGAGGGGTCGCTCTATATTATAAGTGAGTAAAAGAGTAAAAGGTAGTGAGGAGCTTGGATGGCGCGATCGCGCGGCCAGATATTGCTCAACTCCACTGATAAGAGATAAGTTTATTTTGTTGACATTTTGGTTATACTAGCTATATTGGCTATATTGGTTATGTTACAAGGGTATTAAATGTTATATTCAAGGGATATCTAGAATGTATGAAAATGGGATGTACATCTATTCGATATGCAGGTCTACCGCTTGCTGCTGTTCTTAAGCATCTCTTCCAAATGCTAGGCAAGTTAGTGAACAATACCTCGGAAGACACAATGTGGACACTCACCTGCTTCTGTTCAGTTGCTAATTTGCCTTGGGTATCCTAGTCATAGTCAGCATACCCCCTCCTATACGAAGGGAAGGCAACATACACTTATGATGGTTAAAATCAATGAATAATTGTTGAAGAGGAAGCGCTCTCGTCGCTTGGCGTCCGTGCCGTTGCGACTGAGTTTCGCCAAGAGTGAGTCAAACTCGGCAGTCAAACGAGCAAGACTGTTGGAAACCGGCTCATCGTCACCGGCATCGCTGCTAAGAACAAGGATTCCATGGAGAAGCTGGCCAAACCGCTGGGTGAGGAAGTGCGGTGCCGAGGACTGCTTGAGGTCGTCTCCGCCTGCGATTGAAAGGGCAGAAACAGCACTGCGTCCTGTGTTGGACCCAACGCGTTTCAGCGATTCACCATGGTGGTCCATGATCACCTGGAAACGTGGCCAGAGCTGCATATTGATTCCATTCACATATGAGTCGGCGACTGGCACCTTGCGGCGCTGGAGCTCGAAGGCGGAATGCTGGTTCAGGCGAACACACATTAAGACACCCAGAGAATCAGTGGTCTGCTCGATCAGCCTCTTGGTGAGGTTCTGGCCAAGAATAAAGACCTGCTGGAAGATCTCCACCGCATTGCGAGAGATTTGATGGAAGGTTTTGGCGGAGAAGAACTCCGTCAGGAAAGAATACTCGGCACACACGTTGTCTACCAAGGCCAGGTTGAAGTTTCGGAAAGGCACTTCAATCCCATGGTAGGTGTTGTCTTCTTCGGCTAGATATGAGGACAGAGCTTGTAAATTGCCAGTTCGGAGGATATCAACTCGTCTGCCTAGAGAGAAAGGATCATGAGAGGCAGAGCCAGCTCGGCCACCGGGTAGAATGTTTCCTATAATTATCAGCATGTATTTGGCTCGGCATAGACAAAGAAACCAACCAGTTCGATGCGAAGAGGGATCTCCTCCGAGCACCTCATTGCGGTCAGGAGGGTACACCTTGACCTTGTCGAGTGCTTGAAGGTAGCGTGTGAAATGAGATGTGTAGTACCAGCGCATTGTATTGATATATGCCTGTGAGATCTCTCCAGCCAGCTTCGGATGAGTCTTTGAGAGATAACTGTAGAGGTCTTTGAACTTGACCAATCGTTGTTGTTGGATAATCTGTGAGTTGATGTTAGGGGATCGCATCGCCCGAATTTGCGATACCAAGTAATCTCTGATTCTTTCGATCGCCTTTACACAGTTAATACAGATTCGTCTGCTTGCACGCAACCAACACATACCTTGTTTTTCACATCAGTCAAGAGTGGTCGCACATCCTCAATTGCCTTAAAGCCATTGGCAGACGATGCCTTGGCTTCAATGTTCGTCGTTCGAGTATCAATCTCGTTCAGAGCACGTACCCAATTCTCGTCGATGGGGCCCTCGGCGATTGCCCGCACAGCTTTAGGGGAGATGCTGATCTCTTCCACGGCGGGCCCTAGAAGCCGTTCCACATTTCGCCTGTTCTCCAGCATTGCATTGAGCTGTGTAGAGCGGGATTGCAGAGTCTCGATCTCTGCCGATACAGCGCCCAGTTCGGTCTGGAAGTCATTCAGATACAGCTCGACTGACTTGGACACCTCATCACAGCCCGTGATGGAAGTATGTAATTCCTGGAACTTGTCTCGCTCTTGTTCAAACTGCCGAAGTGTTTGTGCATTGACATCGCTATCCCGGGTCTCCTTCCTCGGGGGTTCTTCCTTTGTCAGAAAGTCCTCAAGGCTGAGCCCATCGAATTGAATAATTTCCACTAGCTGTGCAGGCTTCTCTAGCTCCAATAACTGCGACCCATTTGTCTCTGTCTGGTTTTCCTTCCCAATGATGCTATTTAAGACTTCCAGCGGATCGGGAACATTGGCAGGTCGCGGTCGTTGGATGCTTGTCTGCTTCAATGGAGAGCCATTGGCTGTCCTTGCAGTTCCTGGGAGGGATGCGGTTGAGTCACTCGGGGTCACGAGGAGCGATGTAGAGGATGTTTTGGAAGTTACCCCCGGCCGGCCATAGGGACCTGGGAGGAGCTGGGATGAGGATCGTCGGGGTAGGGGAGAGAGGTTTCGGCTATTGGTTGGCGTAGACTGGCCTGAAATGCGGTCACGCCACATAGTGCAGGATCATCAGATCATGAGAAAAGCAGAAGGAAGGTGAAGGGAAGCAAGTAACTTAACATGGTCACTCTACGTGTTGGATATCTCAAAGTGGCACTAAACCGAATCGGACCTAGCGTCGCAACACCCCTCGTCTCCGCCACAACAGGCAAAATCCAAAAATTCTCTCCCGGTCTCCTCTTTTTCCTTCCCCTCCCCATCCTAATCCCTTCTATCCTTCCTACCTCCCTTAAAAATCCATTCACCATGTCTGCCGAGGAGGTACGTTATCTTTCACTCTCGCAATTTTCTCCTGCGCTGCTTTTTCGTCAAGCCCCGCATGCGGCTTCCCCTCTCTTCGCACGAGACTACCTACCCTGGGCTCATCACCCCGCTCAATTTGGGTGAGATTGAATGAAATTGGAATCTAACATTATCTACTATAGCACGATGTCACCTTCGATTCGGCTGATGCCGGAGCTTCGCTCACCTTCCCCATGCAGTGCTCTGCTCTGCGCAAGAACGGCCACGTTGTGATCAAGAACCGTCCCTGCAAGATCATTGACATGTCCACCTCCAAGACTGGCAAGCACGGTCACGCCAAGGTTCACCTTGTCGCCACCGACATCTTCACCGGCAAGAAGCTTGAGGATCTCTCCCCCTCCACCCACAACATGGATGTCCCCAACGTCACCCGCCGCGAGTACCAGCTTGTAAGTGTTCCAAATGGTGGTTAATTTGGAACTTAGGACTGACGAATACTAGCTCGACATCACCGAGGATGGCTTCATGTCCCTGATGACCGACAACGGTGACACCAAGGACGATGTCAAGGTTCCCGACAACGAGGTTGGCCAGAAAATCGACCAGATGTTCACCAAGGAGGAGAAGGAGTGCAGTAAGTTACACTTTCTTAGTTGCTCAAGATTATTACTGATTAATCCTAGACATCGTCGTCCTGACCGCCATGGGTGAGGAGGCCGCTATGGAGTGCAAGGAGGCCCCCAAGTCCGGTTAAATAGCTCGACTCGTTACTTATTATGCCAACCTTTACGTTCCAAAAGGGCTAAAAACCCCCCAAAAATTCATCTTTCATGGTTCAACGGACGGATACGACTCCTTGAACGATATCACCGTTGCTTCAAGGTCTGTCCATCACGTAACCTTGGATTTGGGCTGGACCAAGAATTGCTTTGGTTGGCATGATGTGTGTTGTCCGAACAGTTCCGAGTCTCAGCATCTCATGATAGTGTGACGAATCAATACTCTTGCTTGACAATATATGAGATGTAAAACTCTGCCTAAAGACCTAGATCAATTTAACCACATAAATATGAATACACTTAAACTGCCTAAATTACCTAAACCACCTAAACCACTTTAACACTAAAAACCCAATGACAACTGGAGGATTACGATCTCCAAATCTTTGCAAAGTGGAGCGTCAGAATCGGCGGTCACCTGGAGGGCAGAAAAAAGTTCCGCCTCGATACTACCCTTCTCCGTCAAGACATGAACAACTTCCTTGATGGAATACGTTACCCGAGGGGTCTGTGGTCAAGAGGGATGCCGTGAGACGCGATACTATCTCGACAATGGTCTTTGGTATTGTCGGCGCGGTCACTTGCAAGCGGTATGACGTCTTCCTTCGATAACCATGAACGCGCCAGATATCAGATGGTAGTGGGAGATTTCAACTGACGGAATAACGCATAGGGCGTCCAAGTCGCAGATGATGCAGACGATTTCGGAAATCTAGGCAGACTACATCGTGTGAAGAAGGAAGCCAAGGAGAAGACGAGCAAGAGTTTGTATTGGCCGTTTCATCTAAGGAGCTCATCGCTGACTTTCGAGAAAAGCACTTCGTGGCCGTGCGGCATATACGCTTCTCCTGCAATGCTATCAACTCATTCTTTGGAAGCAAAGTCATGCCTTGGTTCATGAACAGGGTTTCCCAGAGGAACTTGAGGTGTGTGCAACAGTCTCCCTTTGACATGCATGAAAGCTCATCATATATCAGGTTGTTGTTCGTGACCTCTGGGCTCTTCGACTCCAGGACTTCACATTGAAGATCACTGATACTGAAGAAGATGATGAGACTGAAAATGAAGGTTTCAGCTCGCAGCCTGGAGAAAAAGATGGCTCTGGAGAAATTGGATTCAAACCTGATTCAAGATATGTCGAGTGGCCTCGTCTGATTGATTCCCTTGCAACATGTTATCTAGCTGCATTCTTGATGCGGCTTCCTGTCTGCGTCAGTGACTTCCACGAGTATGTATATATTCTATCTCCCCTTGAGCTTTTTCTACGATCTATACTAATCATTCCTAGGATGATCATGCGCCAGGATGTTCCCTTTGCGCGAGTCCTGGCCACCGTCCCTCGAGAAATGAGGGATAAGCTTCCTCCAGAATTGACTGGGATTCTTGAGGTCACCGTAAGTTAACCCTATCTGGAGTGGGTTTTTTTTCATGTCAACTAACCTTGTTTAAGAAACTCCCCACACCAGAGCGGTTCCATCATAGTGTTCTGGAAACAGCGGTGTTCTACCAACGCCGATTCGGAATGGCGCTTCCTGCTCTAAATTCGCCAATGGTTCTTTGCCGGCTGATCAAAAGATTAGCCTTGCCTAGTACGACATCCCACCCCAGGATCAATGTTTCTCTAGCTAACAAATTCTAGTCGAGGTATATGAAGCAACCAATACCTTACAAGACCTCCTTGGTTTCACATACACATATCCGATACCAAGCTCAAAATATGCCCGAAAAGGGCCACTTAATTTCCCCGATCTGCAAATGATTGTACTCATTGTCATTGCAACAAAGCTCCTCTTCCCATTTGATGATTTGAAAAGATACCCCACAACCAACAAGGAACCCGCAGCACAGACCATGGACTGGCCTCTATGGGCACGCGCTCAGAAACATTACGACCATGATCCGCGATTTGTCAACAAGATTGGAAAAGGAACCGCCCTTCAGGTCACAGATAAAGATGTGATGGACATGACTTCCACCCAATTGGACAACTACATGGATTGGTACGAAAGCAGCTGGCTGGATACCTCCAGAGCCCCGGATCGCCTCGCTGAGCTGTTCCCTATCAGTCGAGCAGAACCGGATATTCAGCCAGCTCCAACCGCCGCTTCGGAATCATCTTCAGCCCCTGAACCTGGTTCAATAAACTCAAAGCTCGACATTTTACTACAAACCGTCATGCAAGATATGAGAGCCAGACGGGTCATCCCTGAGGAAGATGAAGGAGCGAAGCGTCCCGGCCAGTGGTATCGTCGATATCGATGGGAATCCCAGCTCAGTGATTCTGCACGGGCTTTCTATGAACTTGCTGCCAAGCTTGCTGCAGTCCCATTGAAAACTCTTGTCCGTAGTGTGTCACTTGTTGAACACAGGATCGCAAAACTACAAGAGGACCAGGAGCGCCGGGAGTACTATAAAAGAGAGGGGATTGAGTTTGATGAAAGTGTTGATGAGGATGAGGCGCCACAGTATGAATCGGATGAGAGCGCTGATCCAATCAATAAATTGGACGAGCAGCTATATGCGATGGATGTTGATGAGGAATTCTGATGTATCACAGGCATGGCGTTGGGGCTGGATATTGCATTGGGCGTTTACCATGGGTTATTTTAAGTCATATCATGTTATTCCAGCAAGCATACTTCCAAGACTTGAAGAATCAGCTCAACAATCATCCATCCGTAACAAAATCAGGTGTACTACAGAATTGTAAACCTGGAAGTACACAATCGTGACCTGATTGGAACTGATCGACCCGAAGACCGGGGTTCACGTGACCGATGACGAAACAGGAAGCAGTTAGGGCTTAGGGTAACCCCCATCGGTCCACCTTTGCTAAGCGAGCGAAATCCTCAAATTGACAATCGACTGCTCCGCCTGGAACACAGCGACCGACAGCCGACACCAACGAGAAATCGCAACCAGTACGTGCCTTGAACCCCGTTGAACAGCATCTATGCATTGCTATAATTCACCATGCTAACATCGTCTTTTCCGCGCCTTTCCAGTGCAGATGTAGGTCATCCTGAATCCATATGTCATCATGAACCCGCGAACCACTTCCGACCGACGCGATCCCACGAGAAGGAAATTTGGACATGGACTAATACGCCTGGATATAGTTTCGTCAAGACCCTGACGGGTAAGACCATTACCCTCGACGTCGAGTCGAGCGACACCATCGACAACGTCAAGACCAAGATCCAGGACAAGGAGGGCATTCCCCCTGACCAGCAGCGCCTGATCTTTGCCGGCAAGCAGCTCGAGGATGGCCGCACCCTGAGCGACTACAACATCCAGAAGGTATGCGAACGCCTTTTCCAATCTTTGTGATTACGACCAGAAGTGGGGACTTTGGGTATTCTCGGGTTGGATCGGATTTCTTTGTCACAAGTCGACAGACAAAACACTATTATGTCCGCCGAATACGCAAGAGGAGGAAACCAAGTCGCTTCACGTTGTGGTCTTCAAATGCGCTGGAATAGTGGCTGACTTGCGATTTTTCCCGTTCTATAGGAGTCCACCCTCCACCTGGTCCTCCGTCTCCGTGGTGGTATCATCGAGCCTTCCCTCAAGGCCCTCGCCTCCAAGTACAACTGCGAGAAGGCCATCTGCCGCAAGTGCTACGTACGTTACTACCCCGCGTCATCCGCGCGCGCTCGAATATTCTGGAACTACCCCTCCAAGGCGCGGTCCGTCAACATATATACTAACGTTGACTAGGCTCGTCTCCCTCCCCGTGCCACCAACTGCCGTAAGAAGAAGTGCGGCCACACCAACCAGCTCCGCCCCAAGAAGAAGCTCAAATAAGCGACTCGCTCCTCGGTGTTGTGCTCGGTGTGCTGTGGTGCAGAACCCAGTGCAGGGGAATGGCTGGGCTGCTACATGGAGAGGTTTACAAATGGCGTTAGATATGATGAAACAATCAATGCAGCCTCAGTCATACTGTTCTTAGTTGGCTCCTCTCGACGACCAAAA